TTCAGATTATCTATCAGCAAATTCTACGGCCTACACAAAGTCTGCTGTGATTGGTTGCCGAATCAGTCTTTGTTCTTATTTTTCTCACGACCAATATTGGGGACGTAAATTACTGTCTACCAATTTGGCTAGCAGTCAGCTCTCACCACAAGTATATTGTATATAAAAGCAAATCTTCTTCTGCCTTGCTTACTGAAGCTGCAGTCCCTCAAGGTGCTGTTTTGTATCCTTTTCTTTCTTTTTTACATGAATTACCACTTTCGGATGAAGCCAACTTCGTTAAATACGCTGATGATCTGACTATCTCGTTACCAGTTACGTCCCAGTCTGACAGTTCTAAACGTAGTAGATTTTTGGTGGATATCAGCCAGTGGTTCTACGTTAAATCCCTCTAAATGTCGGACAGTTGACTTCCTCTTTAGGCATAAATGTGATATACACGAACTGGTTGGTTCACAAGATGCTTGTAGCATAGCATGCAAGGCACTGAAATAGAGACTAAGTCACGCATAAAATACCCTGGAATATTATTATCCTTTGACGTTTCTTGGTCATCCCCTTTCTTGTCGATCTCTGAGAAAGCGTTCCGTCTAACATTCTATATTAACAAGTTAAGACAATCAGGTAGGTACCACTCAATCTCTACATTTAAAATTTGTTAACTCTTGCATCTTACCTAATGTTCTTTAATGCTCCCTCATAGTCTTTCCTGGACTACTGAAAAATGACTATGTGACATTGTGATGGGTATTAAGGGTTGTTGGTAGGGCAAGGGGTGTACCACTAAGTCAGCTGGTTACTATTGTAGTCGACAGATATCTGAACTCATGTGAGAAGTGGTCTAAATCCATATTATCTGACCCTCAATACCCCCAGTATTCCCAAATCTCTCCTTGTATCTCAACTGGTAGAACTAGAAGTCAGTACAAAAGATTATACGCTCGTACTACCAAGTATATGCACTCAACGATACCATATTTGGCCAGGCCATGTTTTCTGTGACAGAGACACAGTAAAGCGTGAAACTTATGAATTACTATGTTGTTAGCAAAACAATCGCCCCTTTTATTATCTCCTATTTGTAATCTGTGGTGATACTATCTCAATTAAACTGACAACCTTATCTACTAATCTTATTGTTATAATTATTTATACTGATTTAAAATGCCCATTAAAATTTTTCAAAGAATGGATACTGAACAAAGAGTACTCCTTTCGATAAATTCATCATCAGGCTCTACAGTTACATATACATTATAGTGAATGAATGAATTAGTGTTATGAACAACATTAATGTTGTTTAAATAACATCGAATCAATAATATTGATAGATTACAGCTGAACAACATCAACATAAAATAAACTGAATGTCAGAGAAATTAGGAAAGATAATAATACAAATTCATGAATTTATAGTCTCTACTGAAGGCTGGCCAGGGCAGGAGTAGGGGCTAGCTGGACTTGCTTCTTTTGAAAACAGAGCAATGGTTGTTTGAGGCGAATTGCTATAGCCTCTGCTGTTTGGAGCATGCGGTGCTTCGATGATTTTGGCAATTTATTAGGCAACTGGTAGATTATAGAGAAGGATTTATCAATGCTGGCTTTGTGGCCAGTTTGCACCAGATGGTCCAATATCGAACTGCTAATGGTGTTAACTACACCTTTACTTAGTCATGGGTGGAGATATTCTCGAGCACGAAAAATCAAGTTCCTAGAGCGACGGCCAACATAACTCGCTCCACAAGCGCAGTTGAATTGATAAATACAATTTGAAGTGGCTAGTCTAATAACTTCATCTTTCAGTCGAGGTAGCACCATCAGTCGTGTAGAGAATAATACGTGTAGTTCGCCAACATTAAAAGTTCTTTGAACTGATTTTCTTAATTTCTTCGTAATTATCTCACTTGGTATATCGCCCTTAAATTGTAGTCGTACATAAAGTGCTTTCTTGTTTACAGATAGTGAGTAGTCCTTTTCCGCCGCTTTCTTTGTCATATGTTTCTTGATAAATTTTTCGGGATAGCTATTTTCGATCAATCAAAGTATCATATACAATTCTTAATTCATCTTCAGTTACTTCTTCTGAGTATATAGCTCTAACTCTGTGTGGCTGAGGGTCTTCACTAAATTTCTTTTGTACTTGATAGGAACGAATCTGTGAAAATGTGTGTATATTGTCTTGTCCAAGTACTTTTTCTATGCAAATTTCTTTTTATGCTACCATCTGGTTTTCATGAATTTGTAATATTATCTTTCCTAATTTTCGTGACATACAGCTTATTTTATGTTGATGCTATTGAGCTGTAATCTACTGATATTATTGATTCGATGTTATTTAAACAACGACATTAGTGTTGTTCATAACACTAATTAATTCATTCACTATTATGGATGCATATAGCTGTAGAGCCTGATGATGAAGTTATCGAAAAGAGTACTCCTTGTTCAGTATCCATTCTTTTGAAAAATTATTTACACATTTTCTGTACATATATGAATTCACTGTCACTACAAATACCAAATAAGAACTGCTATGAACAGTCCTGTGATATTATTTTGTCTATTTAATTAGGTACAATATTGTACCAAATACTGAGGATCCTGCGGTGTGTCATAAGTACTGTTTTGGAATAAAGCAAATCATTATTCCTATTGTTGACGTCCTGAAGAATGAGAGTGGTGGTGTATATCTGCCGAACCTTGAGTATGCGGATGATAAGATGCAGATTGCCTGAATCTCACTTAATCAGTTGGTGACTAATGTTTGTATGCATAGTATGCGCTCTGCTCTGTCTAAGTACAGAGTATTGTTGTCAGATTGGCAGGAGTCCGTGTCCACAGTCACCCTTGTGACTGACATAGTATGAGTCGGAAAGTGTATGTATTTGGGAAGTTGTAGGTTCTAGAAGTATAGTGGATGAAATTTCCAAAAGTCATAGTTACGCATGCCAATAAAAATCATCTATGGCACTGTCACGATGTTATTCTGGTAGTCATATTTTGGGCATACATTGCCTCCGTATCTTTCAATGTCTCATAACCCTATGACTAGTTGGAAAAAGTCGCTAGCTGTATGGTTCATGAAATGGTGTCGCGAGGTGAAGGATAGTTATGACGGATGATATCTCTTGGTGCATCAAGATTCATTCGACAAATTACCTGACTTAATGGTTTGAGACGTTACTAGGCAGGGTTTGCAGTCGAAGTTTTTGAAGAACATGCTGCAGATTTCTTCTTTCTCCCGTTTTTGAAATTAATGACGTAACGAACACTTCTCTGGACGCCAGCCTTTAATTAGTACAATTAACTGTTTCACTCGTTTGTTCAATGACTTTATTTTAATGGGAATTTTCAAGCCACAGCTTTACTTATGTCTTTTATGTGGGGCATAGTGTTCAGTCTAAATATTGCACTCATTTTATATTTAAGTGAAAATTCCCAAACTAACAATATTAGGTGAGTTAGGGTTAGGTTAAGAAGTCAGCTGTTCAGAACAAAACCTGCTACCAAATCAATGAAATCACTGACTGTTGTGATTTAAGGCAATTTACTGGGTAACCAATGTCTTTGAGGTGCTAAGGAACAGTGGTTTAAGACAATCAGTGATGTGGCTCAAACGTTTTCACAATTGAGCAGGTGTATTCAATTCTCACCATCATTATCCAGATTGTGAAAATCATTCACAAATCTTCCTTTAACTACTCTCTATTGTAATGGTGTTTGTCTGTTGTAGTAGTATCGTTCCATTTCTGTTCTTGTATTTTGACTTCTTTTCAGAAGTTCGTGTAGTTGGACTGATGCACTTCTCTATGATCTTCTACTTTGATCCTGTAGTCAGTCAATTCCCATTGACCCAATAAGTTGATTAATATTGCTTGCAGTTCTCCCGGTCCTTCTTAATGGCTTTGAGAGATGACTGTTAGCAGTGGAAATTGTGAAGAGTTTTGGTTTCTGTAGGGATTTAGTTTGATCGGTTGGAGGATTTCATCATGAGCTGACATCAGTTAGAGAACCATTAGAAAATATAGGAGTACGGTTTCGTCAGCCTAGTTTGGGACTCGTCATCAGTAAGCACCCACAGCTAGGGTTCGAACCCAGGATCTTTGGGTTACAAGGCCAGTCAGCTCGTAGGCCATTAATCCACTCGCTGGGACCCGATCCAATAGCCAGTCGATAAATTTTAACTTCTGCCAATTCATGACATAGCGCCACCACTTTGCAATGTCTTCTTCAATGAGTTACTGCCTCACCTCCAACCCACTGCAACCTACTGGTCACGGCTTCCCACTAGAACCCCAGGTCACTGCCAACCTGAATAGGGCCAGTCGCTAGTGAGCATCAGATGAATTTTCAAGTATTGGTTTTTGTAGGGATTTAATTCGATTGGCTGGATGTTTTCATCATAAGATGCTGAAGAGTCCCAAACTAGGACGAAACAGATGTCCAGTTTACCATATGTGTTTACGTACTATCTCTCATTTTGGATGGTATAATATAGCCAATAGTATGGTGCAGAGTAAGTCAATCGATGAGTTTGTAGAACTACATCGATTAAGATGGCTAGGGCATGTGTCATGCATGCCAAACAATCGTCTTAGAGTCCTTGAAAATCATTGGGTGGAGACTGTTAATGACATGACTCAAAATTGTTCGCAGATTTTTATTAAATTCTCACTATTCTCGAATTAATTCTCTCGTAATCTGAATTGCTGAGCATTTATAGAAGGTTCTGTGTTGAAAATTCAGTCCAGTTTACTTCGCTTGGTATTCTATATTTTGTTGATATGATAAGCTGACCGTATCAAACAAAAGTGTAGAGAACAATTTTCCCCCAAAATAAGTATACTTTAAAACATAAGACATGTGTATAATCAGTAGAAAATAAATAGTTTTCTAATCACTATGTCAATTCTTGAAGTTATAAAATGGCCTATCACGTAATACGTGTTAAATAAGAAAGAATAATTGTGAGTGGATTCAGCCTAGCTCTTCAATGCGCCTTATGAATGATTGACTATTTTATTGTTCCTACGATTCTCTTCTGTCGTTTCATCAACGTCGTTGTCGTCGCCGTCATCATCATTATCCACCCCAGACATCTTCATCTGACTTGCTTCATCCTCCTTACAGCTGCAAATAGCTTGTGTATCTTCAAGTAAGCGTATATAAGGCAGCGTACCAGATACATCAGGATCAAGTTTTGTTAACAGTTGATAAACTTGTTCATCTGTCAGTCGAACACCTGTAGCATTTTGATAAATATCTCTAAAGACTGGTGCATCTAGTCGACCACAGCCTGTTTTATCAGCTTGTTGCATTGTCCGACGCATTTTACTCCAGTTCAAACGAGATAACTAAATAATGGGGACAGGGAGTTATTAAAAAGAAAGAAAAAAAAAACAAACAGTATATATTACAAGTTCACTGAAGTAGCTGGCTAGAATTTGGGTGGTTTCAGCTGATGAGTTCAACCGTTCGTAAAAGGATTTCGTCTACCTCTTCTTCATACAGCCAAAGCTTTAGCAATCCGTAAAGAGAAACCTGAATTTAGTGTTCAGAAACACTTTGTCCAGACTTTTTGTTTTACTACCGTAGCCTTAGTACTATGTTTTACTTTCTTTCTCTCCCTCCTTTGTCTCCCAGGATAACTAACTGTATAATAAGCTGTGTGTAGTTCGTTTTATGATCTTCACAAGTCATTTTAAATCTTTTATTCCTTTATGTGTTCTGTTATCAACTACTTCCAAATGATTATTATTCATCAGTCAGCTAGTTAGTTGTCAACCTTCCTGATTACTTAAGACTATTCCTGATTTTTCAAACATACTTATCACTCATGCACTTTGATTTGCTTTGTGACGAAGTAACAATAACCTTTGGCCTTATCTTTAAATAGTTCTTCAGCTTTCTTAGTGTATTCTTCTCTGTTCATGACTACTGTGGTTTTTTTTCCTTTGTCAGCTGGTAGAATGACGATATCCTTCCTATTTTTTCAGACTTTTGAAGGCCATTAGTTCTTGAGAGTTGAGTTGTGTGTCTTGTTTGACCATTGGTACGATTGTTTGGCGTATCTCCATTCTTGTGTATCTTCGTTTAAGTTTGATGATTTGAGTGACGATTCAAGGGCATCGAGGCATCTTTAGTGTTGTAGTTTTATCCTCTTTTCCAGTAGTTTTTGTTCCATTTTTGATAGTGGTTGTTTTGATAGGTTGACTATGCAGTAAATAGGTGTATTGTCTGGTTGTTGTTTTCTAATTTTGGCTAGCTTTGTTTTGAGAACTTTCCATCTTTGTTCTCTGTGTCTTCTACTTGATAATACAATTGCCGTGATCAGCTCTGACAGGTGTTCCTGGTTGAGGATTTTCTCTAGTTTTTTTTTTGTTTTTGGACATCTATTATTTATTGATCTGATAATGTGCATCTGTAATCATTAATTTGACCATTCGTCTTCCACAGTGTCCGGCCAATTTCTATCCCAATGGGAATTTTTCATACTTTGAAGAGATAACTTGTATCATTTTTAGGCTATTAGCAGTTGAAGAGTGTAGCTGTGAAATGAAAGACATGAGCTGTTTTTATCTAATCAAGGAAATTGGGTGTATCGAATAGTTTAGCATGTGAATGAATATATATTTTAATAATTCCCATCGTGATTGGAATGAGTAATTCCAACGTTTCGTTCGGCAATCTGGTCCGAACTTCTTCAGTGAAATTAATCGAATTAAAATAAACAGGTTTATATATAAAAGGAACATCTCTTGTTTTTAAAAACTTTGTTCAATCATGAGTCATTCAACAAGCATAATAAACAAAATTTTATGAGCTGTGATCAAAATTTGACCTCGAACTTACAAATATTGGTCTACCTTTGTTGAACACTTTAAACAGAGTGTGTATGTGTGTGTGTGTGTGTGTGTGTGTAAACAGTTGTAGAACATTTCTTAACGTTTCCATAGGAAGATATGGACAGTCGAGAATTTTGACCAAGTATTAATAATTAGTTATACATATCCATTTTTTATTTATTAATAAGGATTTCCTATGCATCAGCTAACATCACACCTTCATGTCTGTTTAAACTGTTAGTATCTAGAATTTTATGATTAGACGTATTTTCAAAATTATGGTGTTTAGGATTAGAGTTTAGTTTAAGCACCCTGTCGGACTTATTGCTTTGTCTTCTTTCTGAAGATTGAGCTGATTTATTCGACCTACTGGAGTTTTCACGTGACTCAACAGCTACGGATTTAAGATATGCATTCTGTTGCAGCTAACGGAGAGTGTAAACAGGATGATTGTGCTAATTGCACAGTTTCTTTGTTAATTTAGTTCGATTGCAAAATAATTCAAATGAACTGTTGTCAAGATTTGACAGAATAGTTCTAAAATACTTGGGCGCCGAGTGAGAAGTAGACATTTGTAATGGATATATATCACTAATTATTAATAATTGCTCAAAATTCTCGACTGTCCATATCTTCTTATGGAGACGTTAATAAATGTTTTACAACTGTTTACCTACACACACATACACATTCTGTTTAAAGTGTTTAACAAAGGAAGACCAATATTGGTAAGTCCAAGGTCAAATTTTGATCACAGCTCATAAAATTTTGTTTATTATACTTGTTGATACTTGTTGAATGACTCATGATTGGACAAAGTTTTTGAAAACAAGAGATGTTCCTTTTATATAGTAAACCTCTGTTATGTTAATTTCGATTAATTTCCCTGAAGATGTTCGGACCGGATTGCCGAACGCTGGAAACGTTGGAATTACTCATTTCAATATCGCTGAGATTTTACAACTATAATCTTTTACAAAAATTCCTATCGTAGCATTAAGAACACATTATTCAGCGAAGAGACTCTTTCCAACGAATTTATTATCAAGCTATACAATCATATATATATATGATTTTCAAGAAATTATATCCGGTGAAGGAATTAGATCAAAGGTGTGAATACATAATACCAGGTTTATATGGACTACCGAAAATTCACAAGACAGGATTATCCCTCAGTCCAATTCTCGATATAGTGGGATCTTCTTATCACGGAATTGTTCGATGGCTAGTGGAAATTAATTTTAATTAATTTTAGTGTCTCAGACAAAGTGATGTTCTCATTAGATGTGACTTCACTATTTACCAATGTACGTCTCATGGAAACTGTTTGCTATATATGTGATTATATTGATACACATAGTTTAGAAATAGGGTTGCCGACAATCCACCTCAAAGAATTTTTATTGAGATGGACACGTTGAATGTTCAGTTCACCTTCAATAATGAGATTTTTAGACAGAGAGATGGCATTGCCATGGGATCACCACTGCGTCCTTTGCTGGCTGACTGTTTTATGGTAAAGCTTGAAAACTCTCAACTTAGTCAAACCATCGATCATTTTGACGTTTATAAAAGATACGTAGATGACACTTTCGTTATCTGCGATAATAACGTAATTCTTGATGATGTCTTGTTTGCCTTCAACAACCGCCATCATTCTCTTTCTATTCACCATACAAAAGGAATCTGAAATAAGTATTCCGTCTCTTGATGTGTGCCTTAGTAGACGTAATGACAGATCTCTCAAAAGATCCATCCACCGGATGGACAACTAACTAATTTTTATAGTTGGGTGCCTATCTCCAGGAAAAGGAACCTAATTTATTCTCTCTGCTTTAGGATAGAAAATATCTGTAGTTCTGGTTGCGTTTACTCAGAACTTGACTTGCTAAAAGCCACGCTCGCAGAAAACGGTTACTCGAACCGATTTATTGACAGTTACACGAAAGATAAGCAGTCACCGACTCACTTCCAAAGAAAACCTTATTCATGAACTTGGAACTCAAAGGCGATCAAGCTTCAGATATGCTCAAAAGTCGTCTCTCTAAAGTAGTCAGTAAGTTCTTCGCAGCAAAAATACAAATGACGTTCACCAGCCTCAAGTTGTTCTCCATCTCTGTAAAAGATAAGCTCCCTCATCTGGCCGCCTCCATGTGCATCTGTCCATTCACCTGCTCTTTTGGAGCAAGGTACATTGGCCGTAGCCAGAGGACGCTTTCCACACGGATACGAGAACATATTCCAGCTGCATGATTTTACAAGGGAGAAAGGAAGTATGTGAGAACCTCTGTTCTAGAACAGCTGATAGACTCCTACCACTCTGTCAACCCTGTCCATGATTTTAAGATCATATATAGAATCCATGCTAACTTCCCACGTTTTCTTCGTTACAGACTTCTAAAGACAGCTGAGGCCTTGGCAATTCATGACTTTAAGCCAGACCTTTGCGCACAAAAGAAGTATGTGTACGATCCCTACTTCTGACTTGGCCGTAGAGGGATAGACATTTATTTATTTTGTTTATTTAGTAATTCTATGTACCTTTTCCGTATTACTACGATTATTATTATTATTCTCACTCTGAATTGTTTCCGCTTGTCCCACTTGTCATTCTAAATCCAAATTTTTTACAATATTGAATTCTATCTTATCAAATTTCATACGATGTTATGTAACATTTTATATTCGCCTACTAATCCTATAATTATGCACCTCTTTCCAACATCTATACACTTTATGAATTATTTTATATATATGACATTAATTGTTTTGCTACTTGACATTTAACTATGATTATAATCACAATTATTTTAATTGCATTCCATACTATTATTATTATTTCATGTATTCACATCTTTGGTCTAATTCCCTCACCGGATATAATTTCTTAAAAACCATATATATATGTATATATATATATATACGATTGCACAGCTTGATAATAAAGTCGTTGAAAAGAGTCTCTTCTCTGAATATTGTGTTCTTAATGATATATATATGTATATATATATATGTACGTACTCAATCAAATTAAAGCTACTTACCGGTACTTTTGGTTTAACTTCATTTAAAATAGGCAATAGTGGTGAATTGATTTGATTCAATTGATTTCCGCGTAATATTTGATTGGTCAGTGAATTTATTGATTTTTTATTGTCTAAATTTGATTTGACTAAACGATTCCTTACAAATGGTTGTAATAAAGCAAGATAAGATATCCTGAAGAAAAGTTAAAAAGAGAGTTAATAATTTTTACACAGAATCAGTGTTGTTTAAATAGTAAATATTTTGTTAATCTTTTTTATAAAATGACTTTTTATATTTGTTATAATGTGTCTTACATCATTGAACTAGCATGGAACCTAGGTCCAAGGCTGGGCTTCCTGCCTGCCGATTGCCTCCAACCATCAATGTGCACCGTGATGGCGAGCTACCTAGAATGGTGGTCACATTATTATTATTCTCTATTCTCTATTGTTCCCCCTTAGTTTTTTCAGGGCTGCTGAAGAAAGACTATACCTTATTACACAGGATGTTAAGGGCTGTCAGCAAGGTAAGCAACGTGCCACTCAACCAGCTTGTTAATATTCTGGTCGACAGGCACTTAGACTCATGTGAAAAATGGGCCAAATCCATTCTATCTAACTCACACCACCCTCTTCATTCACAACTCTCCCCTTGCACATCTCATCAGGCAAAACCAGAAGCCTATATAGAAAACTATATGCTCGCACTAGCAAGTACAAAAACTCAACCATACCCTCCCTGCTTAGCTCGTGTTCTGTGCGATAAAGAAAGCATTAGGCGTGATGCCTATAATTCATTAAATAGTCAGTAGAACAACTGGATCTCGTCTTTCCAACTCATATCATTTATAGGTACAACGTTTTCTTTCTTTCTTTTCCTCTTCTCTTTTTTCTCTTATGTGTTGCTTTGTTTCTCTCTTCCTCACAAACTCTGTTTAAAACATTCTTCTTCGTTCTTTCACACTCTGTATATCTCGACCTTTTCGTTACCGCTTACGCCAGTAAATATGCTTGCATCTACATCTCTAACACCTTCAAACATTCTGTTCACTTTTGGCTTTGCTACTGATATACTAATATATGTTGTCAAAATTAACTGAGACTACCCATAATCTATGTAGAATTTTATTTATTGTTAATGTACAAACTGGATGCAGTAGTGTAGTGAAATGCTGAGAATTCCATTCTGCATCACAAGTACTACTTTGGAATAAAGCAAATTATTATTATTATTGCAAACCTGACTAACTGATAGAATTCAGTCTGCACCAAAGAAAAGACTAGACACATCGCACTAGTTACTGACTAGTGTTCAATCAAAAGTATCCACTACAGTCCTACAGGAGGTCAGTCGCGAGCCCGAATAGCTGCTCAGTGGTAACGTCTCTGACAGCAGGTGGCACTGGGTAACGCGGGTTCGAATCTCAGAAGGAAATGAGTTCCTTCGCGGTTGCAGATACGCGCCTTGCTGACTGGTGATGAGTGCCGACTAGCACGAAACCTAGGTCATGTACGGCTTCCTACCGATCGCCTTCAAACGTCTAATATCATGAAATTGGTCAGTGGATCTTAGTGATAGTTGAGGAACACATGTTAGCGGGCATTCACAATTTTATCTTGAAACTATTTGACGAAATCATTCAGTTTTGTGAATTGGGCCGAAAGCTTCGAACTCTGTTGATATATTGGCTCCCAATAGTACGGACGCTTCGAGAATGTCTGAGGATTAATTTGAAGTAATTCAGTGGATGGTGCTGACTAGGAGTGGAATCCTGGGTACGCACTTCGTCCTATTTGGGACTCGTCATCTGATGGATGTATCTGCTATTCGCAATGAGTGATAATAGTGTTCCCTATGAGACTCGAACCCAGTACTCATTGTTTCAAACGTCAAAGCGTTATCCACCACACCGTTAGGGGCATGAGAGCCACCTGTTATGCAACAGGCATCAGTTATTATTTCTGTAGGCACTGCTGATGCTTCTTGCAGATAATCTCAAAGGTTATTTTGATATCAACACTGATGTGCTTTCTTATAAATGATACTGGTGGTCTGTTATCTGCGTTTATCAAGTTTCTAGAGTTTAATTGTGTTTTAGGTCATTTGGGCATATGTTCCCCCCACCTTCGATGGCAAGGTGCCGTCACTTCTAACCATTGTTGTGTTATTAGATGTCTGGAGGCAGTCAGCGGGAAGTGTTAGACGTAGGTTTCATGCTTGTTGGCACTCATCAGTAAGGCGCATGTGAAGGAACTCATTTCCCTTCTAGGTGCACTGTGATGGCGTGTCACGTTGCAAACTTGACTAGTAGAATTCAGTCTGCAGCAAACAGAGGACTAGAGACGTCACATTAGTTAGTGTCCCATCAATTACTTTATGTGGGCACACATAAACATGTAAAATGGCAGAAAATACATTTTTCAAATAATCTAAATCATTCAGTAACTCTATCCAAATTAATAAAGTGACTACCTTTTTTTAATAGTAATAATATGAATAACGGCAGTAATAATAAAGTAAATAAACAGTAACCAAATCATATAAGTAAATATTCTGTATAGGAGATCAGTTGTAAATCCACTCAACAAATATACGGGATGGAAACACAGATGGATTGGATATATACGCTTAAGAGACTGTTGAGTGACATCGTGTGCTAGGCGCTCAAGTGGAAATCGAATAGGAAGTGAGAGACGAGTTGGGCATCAGAGAGTGACGTGGAGAAGATCAAAGCTTTTGGGCAATTGTGGAGTCAGCTAAAATGACTGTAGAACAGAACAGAACAAAGCGGAGATGTGTGGTTGAAATCAGTAGCCGAATATATGGAATTGAAAAACTGAATACATAATAATTACTGTCCTCTTGGTTTCCGAGTGGAAAATAGGGCTTAAACAGCACTTCCCCACTTTGTTCTGTTCTCTGTGATCCTCTTCAAGTGGCCTCACGATCCCTCATAGTCTCTGGGGTACAGACTATCTGCACCTGCTAAAGCCTGGACAAAGGGGCAGTGTAATTAGCCTTTATAGGAAAACTTTAACTCACCTGTATGAGTTATTAGTGGTGCATGATGTAAAGTTTATAAATCACAGTGAAGTGACTGTTTGACCCTTTAGCTCCTCCACTTAGCTAGGCAGCATCATTTTAACTACAGGTGGTACGGACAAGGATTTCAAAGTCAGAATCGGAAAGGCAAGACAGTAAAGAAATCCGCTGCGATACTAATATCCAGTCATGGCTTCTACATAGTTGGCACGGAACAGAAAGCATTTCCAGCAGGCTACTACAAACTTTCCCCAACAGCTGCCATCGCTGACTCCATACTGAAGATGAGCTGACCAGTTGGAAAGAATTGACAACAAGGAACTCTGACAGGTGGCAAACTAACCAAGAACGCACTGCCCAACAAATATGCAGTGGAAAATGGAGATGGATGGAATATATGCTGTGGAGTAGCATCGCGCTCCAGATATGCCCTCGAATAAGACCGGAATGGAGAAGGGCGAGTTGGACATCGGTTCCAGGGTGATATTGAGGAGGTGAGAGCCATTGGGAAATCGTGGATTCATCTGAAAACGACTGTAGACAACAGGAGGAAATGGAGATATGCCGTTGAAGCCATATATTTATCCTCGGAATCCAAGGAAAGAATAGTAGTAGTAATAATAATTCTTCAAATTCATCTACTCTCCAGTTATCCTGCTTTTTTCAAGATCGAGGATGGCAGTGGTGAAAAGTTTTTTCTTTTTGACTGTCATTATTTTGAAATAATGGCGAAGATTTGTAGCGAGGAATCATGCTTCTGTCGACGCAAAGTAAAATCCTGAGTCACATCATCCTGGAGAGAATAAAGGACTCATTGGATACAGAACTCCGACGAGAACAAGCTGGATTCAGGAAAGGCAAATCATGTTCTGAACAAATTGCAACTCTACGCATTATCATCGAACAAAGCATGGAAGGCAATCAAACCTCTACCTCAACTTTATAGACTTTGAGAAGGCCTTCGACAGCGTTGACCGCGAAGTAATTTGGAAACTACTCAAGTGCTACGGTGTACCCCAAATATTCATCAACCTTATTCAACAACTGTACGACAACGGCACATGTCAAGTGATTCACAACGGAAAACTCACCGAGGCGTTTGAAGTAAACACAGGAGTCAGACAAGGGTGCTTATTATCACCAATGATATTCCTAATTGTGGTGGACTGGATTATGCGTCAGACAGTGGGAAACGAGAAGACAGGGATATCCTGGATCGACGTGAAGAACCTAGAAGACCTAGATTTCGCGCGTGGATGATTTATGTTTGATGTCACACAAAATCGAAGACTTACAAGCGAAAACCGACAAACTGGTCGAAGAAGCAGACAGAGAAGACAGGACTCCAGGTGAACATAGACAAGACTGAGGTTATGAAAATAACCAACCAACCAACAAAAACAACAGCAGCAGCATCCAGTGCCAATCACCATCAATGGGAGGGATTTGAAAGAGGTTACTTCATTCTCTTATCTAGCGAGCATTGTCTCAACTACAGGAGGAACGGACGAGGTTGTCAAATCGAGAATCGGGAAGGCGAGAAACACATTCATCAACCTGAAACCAATCTGGGAATCTTCGTCACTCAGCCTGCATCAACAACAAAATTCGGATTTTCAATACAAACGTCAAGTCAGCCGGTTCTTCTATACGGATCAGAAACTTGGCGGCGGGTCACAAAGAATATTTCCAACAGCCTGTCGCAAACTTTTATCAACAGCTGTCTTCGTTCTATACTCAAGATCAGATGGCCGGAAAGAATCACCAACGAGAAACTATGGGAAGAAATAAAACAAGAACCAATCGCCCAAGAAATATTCAAGAGAAAGTGGAGATGGATAGGACACTCGCTGAGGAGGCCGCTGGGTGACATCGAGTGTCAGACCAGTACTCGAGTGGAACCCGAAAGGGAAGCGGCGAGTGGTTCGTCGGTGCAAGGGTGACATGGAGGAGATCGTGTGATGAGGAGTTGAAACAGTATGGACTAACATGGATGCAGGTGAAAAGTACAGCAGAAGACAGAAGCAAGTGTAGGCGTGCAGTTGAAGCCCAATGTTCCACTAGGAACCCAAGAGAACAATAATAATAATAATTTGTAGCTCAAGTGGGTGATATTGAATTAGTTGTGTTCTCTGAGCTGGTTGATGTTTTAATTGCAAAGTTTTTTTGTCCTTCTAGACAACATCCCTTCAGCGCAGGTTTTAGTACAAAATGAAGTTAATCAAATTATCCATGAGTGATGATATAATTGTATCTCCTGGTAACCATTGTTGTCATTAGTTGTTAATTCACATTTCTATTAAACATTTTGATTGACTTGGAATTCGTACTTTCCATTCATGTGATTTACGTTTTATTAGCTGGTAAATTTTGGTCTATAGTTATGTGTTTGTTTGTCGATTGCTGTTTCATTTCATGGCATTACTTTTGGTGTTTCCTCTATTTAAAATTTTAACATTATCCCAATCATCAAATTGGTGTCCATAAGTATCCGCATGCATTGATACGAAAGAATATATATCATGTCTTTTTACAGCCAATTTGTATTCTTGGATTTAGATTCGAAGCGGATGCTCACTTTGACCGATATAGTGTTTATTGCAGTTCATACGATTTATTTTGTAAATGGTATTAATTTTATCTTCCTTTTCTATTCGATGTTTTGGTTTGCACAATACTGGATGAAGTGATTGGGCTGGCTGACTTGTGTGCTATATCTATTTGAAACTGTCTCAGTATTCTAGCTGTTATTTCAGAGATATTTTTTATATATGGTAGAATGAATTTTCTTGTGGTCTTTGATGATAGTTTCTTGTTGGTGTTATGACTCGAGTTTAAACACTTCTTGATGAAATTGTGAGGATATCCATTCGTTTTGAAGACGGTTAGTTAGTAGGTATTTTTCCTCCATTCTTTTCAACACAGGAGTAGTGCTACAATGTGTTTGAGCCCTTTTCAATGACGTCTGCACACAGTTTCTTTTATGGGTAATTGGATTGTTACTATTATTATAGTTGAGTATTTGGTCTGTGTACGTTGATTTTCTGTATACTTGTGTTTCTAAATTTCTTATGTCAGTTCTTTTGACTGTCATTATTGTAGATAGTTTAAATTAAGGTAATATAATAAATATGTATATCCACAACGGGAAACTCACGGAATCCTTCGAAGTGAAGAGGAAAGTAAGACAAGCCTGCTTACTATCTCCAACGAATTTCCTGATTGCGGTAGACTGGATTATGCGACAGACAGCGGGTAACGAGGACACAGGCATAAAATGGACTCACACAAAAACTTGGAGGATCTAGACTTCGCCAATGATATAAGTGTCTGATTTCCCACAAACTGGAAGATATGCAAGTGAAAAGCAGCAAGTTGGCGGAGGAGGCATCAAAGATAGGACTTCAGGTGAACACAAAGAAAACAGGGATAATGAAGATTCCTGGTCAACAGCAACAGCAAGAACAACAATGACAGACAACAATCAGCATAAATGGGAGAAATCTGAAAGAAGCAACCTCGTGTACCTGCCCGCCTAACTGAGAAGCATCGTTTCAACTACAGGCGGAACTGACGAGGATTTAAAAGCAAGGATTGGGGAAGGAAGGCAAGCTTTCATTACTCTCAAGTCTGTGTGGAGGTCAACAGCACTCAGCATGAAAATTAAAATAAGATCCGGATTTTCAACTCCAATGTGAAGTCAGTGCTACTATACGGATCAGAGACTTGACCAGAGGTTCACGAAGAGCACTTCGGGCAAGCTACAAACCCTCATACAGCTGTCTTCCTCAATACCACTCAAGATGAGATGATCAGAAAAGATCAGCAACAGTGATTTCTGGTAGTGATCCAACCAAGCAGGAACCAAATTTTCAACAGATATGCAGGAAGAAATGGAGTTGGATTGGATTGGCCATACTCTGAGAAAATCATCAAGTGAGTGACATCACACGCCAGGCCATCGCTTGAGTGGAACCCAAATGGGAAGTGGCGAGTTGGTCGTCAGTGCGAGGGTGACTTGGAGGAGGTCATGTGAAGAGGAGATGAAAGCATGTGGGCAGACGTGGAGCCAGGTGAAAACGTTGGCAGAGAACCGAACACAGTGGAGACGTGCGGCTGAAGCCCTATTTTCCTCTAGGAACTAAAGGAAACAATAATGAATAATAATACATATGTATTAAATGTGTAAATCACTTATTATTAACACTCACTTTCCATTTTTGTGTATATCAAATTTCTCAATTAAGTCGTCTAATTCTCTATCGGATACTTGCAGGCATAATTCTGTTAACACTTCAATCAATTGATTATGTGTAATAAAACCTGTCCCCTTGGGATCCATTTCAATAAACTCTTTATACAACCGATCAAACATAAAATCTATCTAGTAAACGAAAAATAAAATTAAAAAAAATTTGTGAAGTTAATTAGAAGGTAGTCTTACTTTAACTTGACTTTCGTGTTGTTATTTTTTCGCTAGCCATCTATAAAGCTTGTCTGTAGAATTAGAGACATTCTGTTCTTATTGGGATTCCAACTAGCTTAAATACTTGGAAATACTTTAATGTCTTAGAGTGGGTCGGTGATTGAGTTGTAGCATTCTCGTCAACCACGTCGCATGTGTAGTCCGTGATTCGATTCCCAGCTGATGTACTTCTAAGCCTGTCTTAACTTCTGATAAACCCGGTGAAGAGGAAAGGTTTGGCATAAAAGACAACACCGTTGCCAATAAAACTTCGAAGCTCGAGCCTGAAGCCTTGCGTTCCGCTCAGAAAGCAAAGGAATAAAATAACTATGATTCCATTTTCATAATATGAAACAAAAGAAATGTTCATTACCTGTCTGTTTCGAATGCCATTAAGTTCATTCTGATGTGGTTGTGTTCTGAGCTGGATAGTTAATTTGCGAAGCTTTCATCACCCTACTAGGTGACATCTTCAGCGCATACTTCAATTCGATGAAGTGAGCTTTTAGATTTCTTCACGAGTTTATTAATCATCTCTCCCGGTAACCTTGGACGTGATTGGTTGCTTTGTGTGGACGTCCCCTTCATCTTCGTATCCATGAACATAAGCTAGCCGTCAAAAGACATGACATCCACTCACAGACAACCACGGACATCAATTCGACTGGGAAAACGTTCAAATATTAGACAGAGGAGATAACAAGAATGCTAGAGGATTCTTAGAAGCTTGGCATTCCAGTGAATCATCAATCAATAGACACATCGAGATTGACAAAATTTATCAACCGATAAGAAAGAAACCTCACACACAAAGAGTCAAAGTTCAAGTCAAAGAAACAATGAGTGACAAAACAAGTAGCCTAGAAGGTGTGAAAACGCAGAAAAACAACCAATCACGTCCAGGGTCACCAGGAGAGATGAGTAATAAACTCGTGGCGAAATCTAAAAGCTCACTTCAAATTGAAGTATGCGCTGAAGATGTCACCCAGTAGGGTGATGAAAGCTTCGCAAATTAACTATCCAGCTCAGAGAACACAACCACATCAAAATCATCCACCTGAGTTACAAATTTTCTCCATCATATTAAGTTCATTCATTTAATTTCAAATTTGATAACAAAATAACATTTGGTTGAGCAATAAATAAAAGAAAAGAATAGCAGCAGCTCCATCTTCGAACACCTTGTCATCTCTAGACATCGGGCATCCCCGCATGAATGCTTCACAGTGCTACACAGAGTCCCTCAATATCGTACAAAGGGACTTCGCATACACCATCTGTACATAGCTGAAGCATTAGCTATTCGGGATCTGAAACCGGACCTCTGCATTCAAAAGCTCTACATACATTCACTCGTCCTACCGTGTCCAGAGTAAACTTCTTACTATAATTGTGCTTCTTTTTATTATTCATCCCTTCTAGGCTACATCTTACATTCAGTAATACATTTTTCGAGGACAAATTTTACCAGTATCTGATTGGTCTTATAAATTCTTTATTAAATATAATTACGATTATACAGCAGCTTATGAAAATGAATAGTCGAAAAGAAAATCTTCACTGTTTATGTCTTTTTCTTAAGAACCAAATAGAAGCCAGCGGGTAATAGATATCTGTTTCGTCCTAGTTCAGTATTCTTCAGCAATACACAGTCGTAACTTCATTAGAGGTCGAACCCTGGACTTTCCGGTAAAAAAAGGCAAGCTGTCTGATAATTCATTCACTGAGGTGGGATAAGATGATCGGGCCAAGTTAAACTTTAAGCACCACCACCAACCAATCAGCGAATGACCTCGAATGGTCAATGAGGTTCATGCACGTGAGTTCAAGGTTGTTTCGCGCTTGATTCGTATCAAATGCCTGCTCTAACAAAGTTACGCTTGCAGTTCGATGAGGATAAGATTTTATAGTATTGCCTCCATTTATGGTTGCTAAGGAAGGAGAGGATTTGTTCATGTGGAGGTGTCATGAGTTTAAAAAGCTTTAACAGGTCGATTGATGGATATGTCCATCGTTGTGCAATTTGCTTGAGACGAGTGAGTATTAGGGAAGGTCAGCTGATGATTTTAATATTTCGTAGGAACATGTTTTGTTAGGTCGCATCTCTCCCTAACCCAGATTTTGTATATTTGTAATTACTGGGTTTTAAAACAGCCTGTGAGAGGCGCAGCTGCTGAAACTGAAAATAGCCTCGTGTCAACCGTTCACTGGTACCAGCACTGCAGAGACATCGCATCATGGAAAATGGAGAGAATTTCTTCTTTGTTAGGTGGAGAAGGTGTCGTCGCACAAGTGGACGAAAATGTCTTATTGAAGGAAAAATACAACCGTGGTCGTGAGCGAGCCAACAATGTTTGGATGATCGGTTTATATGACACCTCCCTGCAGAAAGGATTCGTGGAGAGAATACCAGTCAGAAAGTCTACTACCTTAGTGCCTGTTGTCACTTGACTTGGGAAACAGGGATCTATAGTACATACTGATGAATGGAAAGGTTATAACTTGCTGTCATCCCTTGGATATATTCATCACAGAGTGAACCATTCTAGTGATTTTGTGGATCCAATTACAGGGACACACACGAATTCGATAGAAGGATTTGGGGGAAGATTAAAAAATAGGATAAGGGCTATAAATGTATTTCATAAAGATGTCATTTATAGCCATTTGGATGAATATATGTACGGAATGTGATATAGCTTTTCTGTTGACTCTCCTGTGCTAAACTGGGAGATGTTTCTGTCACATGTTAGAGAAAGATACCCTCTATAACAGTTTTTTGCAGTTTTTATGCTTTTTTCATAAATATACGTTTTCCTCAATCGAAATTCCCTCTTTCTTGTGATTGGTTCGTTGAAGGTCATTCGCTGATTGGTTGTCAGTGGTGCTTAAAGTTTAACTTTGCCCCATCGGCAGTTAATTTCATTCGTGAGTATTTGTCACATTACCATGAGTAGTGTTAACTAGTATCCTTCTTATTCTTAAATCGCTTATTATTTTGTTCATTTGAATCGGCCTTTCATTTTTCATATAAACTGAACTGGCAAGTAAATGTGTGATCAGATTGTCCGAAATGTATAGCAAAGATAAATCGCATTTTTCAAATAAAATACGTCCCGTTACAAAGATATCCAAATTTATCAAGGGGACTGGTTTTCTTAAAAATTATTAATACTGTATGAAAATGTTGACAGTAGTCTAAGATTTATAATTTTCTTGAATTGATTTTCACTTGGCCCTAGTAAACATTACTTCTAATCTCCCAAGTTCTCCTCACAACACAGGCTTATTTTACTTTGGATTCGTTGAAAAACGTTAAATTTTGGAATTATGGATGGTGCTTGTCTCATATTGATTTCTAGGATAAGCAGTATTATTTTGAATGAAGAGCACCTCCGGATCCGAAGTGTTGCTCACAAATTACAATGTGACAATGCTGTTTAGTTGCTGAACGGCCTCATCCCACTCAGACACAATAATGATTTTTATATGTAAAGCGGTTGGATGGTTTGGGGATTGTGTACTGTGGTGACAGTAACGCTGAGTATCAGCTAATCATTCCAAGAATTTCCAATGGTTCTCTAACTAATATCAGCTCATGATAAAAATCCTGTAACCAATCAAATTCCTACAAACCAACACTTGAATATCAATGAGATGCTGACTAGCGACTTGCCCTATACAGGTAGGTAGTTACCTGGGGTTCTAGTGAGAAATCGTGACCAGTAGGGTGCAGCAGGTCGGGTGTGAAGACAAATACTCGCCGAAGACATTGGCTAGGGGTCGCGCTATGTCGTGAATTGGCAGAAGTTGGAATTCATGGGCTGGCCATTGGATCGGCTCCCAGTGGCTTAATGGTATACGAGCTCGCCTTGTAACCAGAAGGTCCTGGGTTCGAACCCCGGTGGATGCGTACTGATGAAGAGTCTCAAACTAGGACGAAACAGCTGTCCAGTACGCCGAGGTTTTCCAATGGTTCTCTAACTAATGTCAGTTCATGATGAAAATCCTGTAGCCAGTCAAATCCCTGCAAACCAACATTTGAAAAAGACGAAGAGTTGGCAAGTGTTTCAGTATCAGCATCTGTTTTGAGGTGGTTTTAAGATTAGGCAAAATCAGACGTATTCTAACAGTGAAACTTTTGGCGATGGGGTTGTTGGAATTTCTGACGCTGGACAAAATTTCTTCACAATTAGTTTCGTTCATTCTGGACGCCGGGGTGGTCATTGAACCAATGAGTTTCTCCAGACCACTCAAAGCCTTTGCATCAGCCTGTGGCCAACCACTTCCTCGTTGTGCCTCAAACTTCCATCGTCCCAGTTACTCAAGCAACACCAATCGATGCCCAAAGATGATACCTCTATCATCTTGATGGCGTTGTGGTGCTCAGCATTTTGTGAAATTTTGTCTGTATAAGCAACACAGGTGCTATGACTGCAATAATATAGGATACAAACATGGTTTTCTCCAGTGACACACACCAAGTACATCCTCGACATATCGCTGCAGGCACAGCTCCCAATAAGCAAATACCCGCCGAAAATTCATCAGTGTTCGAACTCTACTTCCTCCGGCTGGCGCTCCACCTGTTCCCCAACCAATGAGACCTAATCCAGGTGCTTTATTACAGCAAGTTGTCGCCAAACTCTCCTCTCAAGCGTTCCACAGCTTCTCATGCTGTGGGGGGGAGGAGGTCATAAATTCTCTACACCTTTCAGTAAATAACAGACCACTCCTTCGATGTCAGTCACCCAGATGGAGTAAATAGACGGTGCTGTCCCAGGTGGACACAAAAAATACGTCTTTTCTAAGGAAAGGGTTATGTGCAAACAGATAAACAATAGATTATCCTTCATTGTTGATATGGTGATCAAGGTCAGTCTGGAAACTAACCAATCAGAACTGACCTACGTTAAATAATGCCCACTATTTTTCATTGGTCATGATTATACACTAATCAACATATCCTTGATAATTTCTTGAATCATACACTGTTGTGTAAAATATACTTTGTCTGATACTGAAATCTGTTTTCCGGCTCGAGTCGTTGTGTGTTCTCGCTTAAGTAGATATGGCTGGGGAACACGCAGCTCTCGTATAATGTTGTTGAAGTAATCAAGAGGTACGCATGATCAACGCATCTGTATCCAACTGAGAGTCTCTATTTCAATTATATGATAATTGTGAAATATAAAAGTGGTGATGTCATAACAAGCACGTTGGCCTAACCACTCGACATTAAGTCGACAAGTTCTGAGTTCGAATACCCCTATGTTCACTACACTGTGAGCATCAGGCCTTATCCAATATAAATAGCGCATAAAAAATCTGTTCTGGATAGCTGAATTCCAACATTCCAATCCATACATCTATAGATTTATCAAAGAGTAATGCATTAGAATATGATCTGAATAAATTTACTAAGATACTGAAGACTTACAGTATAATCCGAAACTTTGTGTGTGTGTGTGTGTGTCTGTGATTACTTAGGATTTATACACCTGAAGTGGCAGCCTGCAGATAATGCTTACTAAACTTTTCCTAGTTCTTTCATATACTACTTACCATAACTTTATAAAGTATTATTATTATTGTTACCTTGGGTTCCTAGTGGAACATAGGGCTTCAAATGCACGTCTCCACTTGCTTCTGTCTTCTGCTGTACTTTTCACCTGCATCCATGTTAGTCCATACTGTTTCAACTCCTCTTCACACGATCTCCTCCATGTCACCCTTGCACCGACGAACCACTCGCCGCTTCCCTTTCGGGTTCCACTCGAGCGATGGCCTGACGCGCGATGTCACCCAGCGGCCTCCTCAGCGAGTGTCCAATCCATCTCCACTTTCTCCTGCATATTTATTGAGCGATTGGTTCTTGTTTTGTTTGTTCCCATAGTCTCTTGTTGGTGATTCTTTCCGGCCATCTGATCTTCAGTATAGAGCCAGCGAAGACAGCTGTTGATAAAGGTCTGCAACAGGCTGTTGGAAATATTCTTTGTGACCCGCCGCCAAGTTTCTCATCCGTATAGAAGAACCGGCTGACTTGACGTTTGTATTGAAAATCCGAATTTTGTTGTTGATGCAGGCTGAGTGACGAAGATTCCCAGATTGGTTTCAGGTTGATGAATGTGTTTCTCGCCTTCCCGATTCTCGATTTGACAACCTCGTCCGTTCCTCCTGTAGTTGAGACAATGCTCGCTAGATAAGTGAATGAAGTAACCTCTTTCAAATCCCTCCCATTGATGGTGATTGGCACTGGATGCTGCTGCTGTTGTTTTTGTTGGTTGGTTGGTTATTTTCATAACCTCCGTCTTGTCTATGTTCACCTGGAGTCCTGTCTTTGCTGCTTCTTCGACCAGTATGTCGGTCTTCGATTTTGTGTGACATCAAACATAAGTCATCCGCGAAACCCAGGTCTTCTAGATTCTTCACGTCGGTCCAGGGTATCCCTGTCTTCTTGTTTCTCACTGTCTGACGCATAATCCAGTCCATCACAATTAGGAATATCATTGGTGATAATAAGCACCCTTGTCTGACTCCTGTGTTTACTTCAAACGCCTCGCTGAGTTTTCCGTTGTAGATCACTTGACATGTGCCGTCAAGTAGTAGTATAAATGAAAAGAAAAGTTTATTATTTTATGCATAACCAGAAAAAAAACATTTACTTTTGCACGCAATGAATCTTTGATCAAGCAAGTGACACCATTCAGCTTATTTGAACATGGCATTAGATCAGCGTCGCCTAATCTTGGTGGAACCAGCTTTGCATTTGGATAGGCAGCATCTGATTTACGATATAAAAAGTGTCGTATAAATTCATGAAATGATAGACAATGCTTTCGATCAACAAAGAATTCTGGCCAAAGTTGTCTTATTTCACCACGTGTTATTTCTGGTTCAATATTGGAGCTGATAAAGAAGAGAAAAAGTGACTTTGGATGAAAATCAAATATGATTTCACTTCATGTATAAAAGTAGCATATATATATGTAGTTTATTACTGTTTGGTTACGAGTTTGATGACGAACTGACTTCATTTGAAAAGCCACTGAAAATCAGGGAATACTTGGTATCTGTTTCGTCCTGCTTTAGGACTCTTCACAGTACACAACCATGAACGCAACAGAGGAAGATCCCAGAACGTTTAGGTAACAAGCCAAGCTTGTCGGCGCTTCAGCCTCTGGCAATAGGATCCCTTCAATTCCAAGTTCTGCCATTTCTCGATGTTGTTAGAGAGTATTTATCTTCACACCCGAATTGATGGACTCTGGTGGTCATGACTTCCTACTGGAACTTCAGTCATCTACATCCTTTGGTCAGTCACTAGTGAGTATTAGATGAAATTTCGAGTTTTGGTTTGGTTACTTTTTTTAGGCGGTCGCTTGCAAGTCACTCTAGATAGGGTGTATTGGCTTAAGAACTTAAGTTTCGGCTAGTGGGTTTTGCACTCAAATTCCGATTTGTCTACTTCGTCCTTTTATTGAAATTTAAAAATTACATTTGTTTGTGCAGAAGATACCAAATTTAATTTATCAGGGTTTATTAATGTTTAATTAAATTTGCATCTTCCATTGGTTGATTATGTTGGGTCGAAATATCCAGTCTCTGTTGATGGGTCGACTACTAGTATATGGACGGTTTAACGACATCTAAAGATTAATATTAGGTGATTTCAGTAGATGGAGACTAACAGCGGAATCCAGGATGTGCATTTCGTTGTATTTGGGAACGTCACCACTCACTGGAGATATTGGGACATCCATTTGATGAGTCTTAGAATATGACCGAATACGCATCCTGAATTCTAACACTAGTGATCAACAATTGATATATAAAGGCTTTCTGAAATAGTTTCACTACCTGCTTACTTCCTTAACCATTTTGAGAGGTGAGGAATAACTGTGAAGTATAATCAAATGAATTTGTTTGTAGACTTTAAATATTTGGAGAATAAGTCAGTTATGTGAACACTAATAGTTATTGTTTACTATGAAAGGTACTAGTGATTACTGATTGAGTGAGTATACTGCATATTGTATACTTTACAGGTAACTAATCAGACAGTGGGAAACGAGAAGACAGGGATAGCCTGCACCAACGTGAAGAACCTAGAAGACCTAGATTTCGCGCGTGGATGATTTATGTTTGATGTCACACAAAATCGAAGACTTACAAGCGAAAACCGACAAACTGGTCGAAGAAGCAGACAGAGAAGACAGGACTCCAGGTGAACATAGACAAGACGGATGTTATGAAAATAACCAAACAACCAACAAAAACAACAGCAGCAGCATCCAGTGCCAATCACCATCAATGGGAGGGATTTGAAAGAGGTTAATTCATTCACTTATCTAGCGAGCATTGTCTCAACTACAGGAGGAACGGACGAGGATGTCAAATCGAGAATCGGGAAGGCGAGAAACACATTCATCAACCTGAAACCAATCTGGGAATCTTCGTCACTCAGCCTGCATCAACAACAAAATTCGGATTTTCAATACAAACGTCAAGTCAGTCAGTTCTTCTATACGGATGAGAAACTTGGCGGCGGGTCACAAAGAATATTTCCAACAGCCTGTTTCAGACCTTTATCAACAGCTGTCTTCGCTGGCTCTATACTGAAGATCAGATGGCCGGAAAGAATCACCAACAAGAAACTATGGGAACAAACAAAACAAGAACCAATCGCTCAATAAATATGCAGGAGAAAGTGGAGATGGATTGGACACTCGCTGAGGAGGCCGCTGGGTGACATCGCGCGTCAGGCCATCGCTCGAGTGGAACCCGAAAGGGAAGCGGCGAGTGGTTCGTCGGTGCAAGGGTGACATGGAGGAGATCGTGTGAAGAGGAGTTGAAACAGTATGGACTAACATGGATGCAGGTGAAAAGTACAGCAGAAGACAGAAGCAAGTGGAGACGTGCATTTGAAGCCCTATGTTCTACTAGGAACCCAAGGGAACAATAATAATATAATAATAATACAGGTAACTAATTATATTCATCTCAGGCATCATCATTTATTTATGTCTGTCTCATCTGTATCTTTTAGGAGATTCATTCATTCAGCAGACAGTATAATTCATTCCTGCTCAAGTTTGCCGGTGCAACTTCTATCAAGCGTTTAAGAACCCGGTTTACATGCATATATGTTCTTGATTAGTAGGTATCTGAACAGGTTATTTAAAAGGTATTTTAATATATATATATATATATCACATCTTCTCTACACAAACTTCATTTCAGTATAGATTTGCTACAAATATTTGAAAACACCCGCCTTATTAATATTCCCTTTGGTTCTAAGTGAAGCATAGAGTTTCGACAGCACATATCCACTTTGTCCTGTCCTCTACACTCCTCTTCAGCTGGCCCCACGATTTCCAATAGTCTCCCATCTCCTGCTTACATTATCTCCTCTCCAACTTGTCGTTTCCTGTTCGAGTTCCAATCGTGGTTATGCTTGGCACGGTATTTTCTGAGTGTGTACAATCCGTCTCCACTTCCTACAACCTATTTGTTGAGCAACAGATTCTTGATTGGTTCGTTGCCTGGCAGAGTTCATTGTTTCTAATCCTTTCCGACCAGCCATCTGATCCTCAATCAGCGAAGGCAGCTGTTGGCAAAAGTCTGTAGTGGCCTGTTGGAAATGGTTTCGTTACGCGAGCGCGAAGTCTCTGATCCATATAGAAGAACTGAGTGACTTAACATTGGTGTTAAGAATCTGAATTTTGTTGTTTTTACTGCTGAGTGCAGCAGATTTCTAAACTGATTTTGGAGAGATGAATGTGTACCTTGCCTTTCCTATTCCCTTTTTGACATCCTTATTCTTGCTTACTGCCTGTAGTTGAAACAATGCTGTCTAGATAAGTGAAAGAGGTGACCTCTTTAAAATTTCTACCGTTAATAGTGATTAGTACTTGTTGTTAGTTGACTGGTTGTCATCTGAAGTGGTGACAACTAGTGGTGTCCGTTAGGGATGCCCACTATCCCCATCTCTATTCAATTTCATCATAGATGTACTAATGGACTTAACCCTAACTCAATTTAGCGACTCGGGGATTGACTTGTTACCAGGGAATAATAGTCTCATTAACTTAGAATATGCAGATGATATAGTCCTTCTACGCCGTCCCTGGCGTAGACGTAGTATCCGACAAGCTGTCGACCAAAGGGTGTGTGTACTACTCAGCAGTCTGTTCCGTCCTCCTTTATGGCTGTGAGGTCTGGCCATTGAGAGTGGAAGACATGAAAAGGTTAGTTGTCTTTGATCAAAGGCGCCTGCGTTCTATCTCCCGTGTGAAAAGGTATAATAGATTGAGCTATATTGAGGTTAGGCGTCGAGTGCTAGGTAATGAAGGGAAATCAGTCGACGAGGCTGTGAAATTACATCGACTGAGATGGTTAGGACATGTTTTACGTATGCCTAATCATCGCCTTCCTCGACAACGGGCAATGTTAGCTGACATAGGGTCAGGTTGGAAAAGAGTTAGCCAGTGGTGGTCAGACTAAAACATGGCTTCATCAGTCAGTGAAATCCACAACAGTTAGTTTAAGCCGGTGAGCCAGCCGCGTAGGAAGATGTAGACTTCTTGGTTGGGGTCCTCGGGACGGTAAACACCAGTGGCTGGAGACAACTGGTGATATGACTCAAAATCATTCTCAATGGAGCAGATGCATCCACTCCTTTTGACTTATAATTTACAATCAAACTATATTGTTCTTAGATATTACTATTCTTTTTGCCTCATATCTCTGTTTACTGTCTCTATTTTGCGTTTCTTTCTACTTTCTTCTTCCCTGGCTTTGTGGGCTTAGTGAAGTGTGGGAACTCAAACTGCTACACATCTGTGCAAAGTTCTATGTTAAAACCAGTCAGTCAGTCAGTCAGTCAGTTAGGTTATCTTCATCACCTTTGTCTTCTCTATGTTTTGAAGAAAATAAAAGACAGATTCAGCGAAGAAAATTTCCTTTATCGACAAAATCATCTTCAGAGGCTGTCCAATCGTACTTATACTTACCAAAAATATATAGTGGTCTATTATTGAGTAATAGGGGGTGACATAATTGATATAATTACTCAGAAGTGGTTTTAGAAGTGAAAATTAGAAGTTGAAAACTACGTGGTACTCAACGGCACAAAGATAGAAATTTGATAAGGTTAAAATTGCTATTAAGTGAGAATAAAGGCATTTGAGTGTCAATTAAACAAGTGTGAAGAGGGCGTGAAAATGTACAAAAGGAGCATATGAGAGTGATAATAGTGAATTAATTATTAAAGCAAAAGCTAACTAAAAGTGAAACTAGAGTGAAAAGAAAAAATCAAAATATATTTCATTTACAAGGAACGATTAGTGAAGAGGTTAAGACCAAGGTAAAATAAGAGACTGGACAAACTTTTTCTGTATACAGAATTCAGGGTTGTATTGATGAATTGCTAGAACCTCCGCCATACACAAAAGCCGGAACCTGACGCCCTTTGTACCATTTGGCTTCACTTTGTACATGATCTTGAAAGACGATTCTGGTGGAGCTACGTGGCCTGAGTTCACCAAATGCTCGAGAATTGAGCTAGTAATTGTCTTACATTGTCCCTTTGCTAACCATGCCGGATAATGCTCAGAGATGCGTTTGGAAAGCGTGCACTTTGTGCGGCCAATATAACTAGCTCCACACGAGCAAGTGAATTCATAAACACATATTGAGGTGGCCCAAAGCGGCAGTTTATCCTTCACGCACCCGTTGATCATTTGTCGGCTGTAGAAGTTGATACGTAGCTCAGCCATAAAGAAGGCTTTCCTCAGTGATCTGCATAAGTGATTCTTTAGGATCTCAGCTGCGGTATCACCTTTAAATTCAACACTCATAAACAGTAGTTTCCTCGGCACCGTCTGTATTCTTTCAGGTTTTTCCCTTGGCTTCATGTTTTTCTCGATAAATCTTGGAGGATATCCATTCTCTATGAGGACTTGTCTGAGTCTCTCCAGTTCCCCAACGATTGTATCACTTGAACATATCCTCCTTATTCTTGAGGATAAGGAATGTATCAGATTTCTCTTTCTTCTCAAAGGGGCCCAGCTATGGAAATTTGTGTACTGACCATTCCATGTTGGTTTTCTGTAGATCGATCTTTGAAGAGAACCATCCGATCTCTTCTTTAGAAGAACATCCAAAAAATGGAATTCCAAGTTATTCTCTGATTCCGACGTGAACTCGATGGCATGATGGCAGCTGTTGAAATCTATGTTTACCTGAAGTTCTCTCTTTACTGCTCCTTCTTTCAGCTTGCTGGTTTTCGTCTGTAGATGTTCAACTTCGTGTGATGTTAGACATTAATTGTTCAACAATCCTGACTAGCGTATCTTAAACAAGAAGATGTTCACACTTCTTTCTATGCATTTCAGAATATGAACAATTACTCAAATAACCCAAAACGCTAAGTTGTTCATTCTGTGTGCTCTTCAGCTGTACATGAGTTTATTGACTATAGAAATCTATATGCCTAATTCTAAAATTTTAACATTAATTTAAGTTTCCTAAATATATAATTAATTAAAATGTTGAAGTCATTTCATGTAAGGTAAACAAAATTTAACCTACAGTTTAAGTAATTGATATAATTGTTCTTGTGTTAATTTGCCTGAATTATATTCATCTAATTCATAAAAACGTTTCTCAATTTCCCGAGGTTTTGATTTCAATACTTCTTGAATAATTTGTTTTAATTCACTCATTGTACGATGATGAAGTTTAGTATCAGTCGATGTTGTTTGAGATCTGCTGGTCGATTCAGACTCGATATGATCAGTTGACGAATCATTTGTGGGTTTGTTATCCGATTTAAGATTCGATGAAATCTGAGGACTTTTGACCTAAGGGAAAGAAAGAGATGTAAAACAATTATTGATCGTCATTGTGCATATTTATAGCAAATCAACATCATTTAGAGAAACATTAAAAACCAGCACTGGAGAGCTTTTTCGTCCTAGTTTAGGACTCTTCAGTAGGCGACCAGTTTGTTGAATACTCAACTAGTTGGTCACATAACCTGAAAGGCTCGAGTTCTTTCTGTGTCGGGGTTATGGCTGTACACCACTGAAGTGTCCAAAACTAGGATGAAACAACTGCCTAGGGCTCTGTGGTTTCAAATCATTCTCAAACTGATGACGAAATTTACAATGAAAGTAGCAAAAATTCCCATAAAATCGAAATTTGAATTAATTGCTGACCAGTGAATGTAAGTAATTACTTAGTGTAAAGGGGATGTATTTCAGAATACTTACTTTATTATCAGATGGTACTCGCATTACTGTGATGACAGAAGACAAGAGCCAGGCAACAGATCGTTTATCGAGGGAATCAAGAGATATTTATATATTTTTATGTACATTATTATTCGTTATTAATAGCAGAGAAACAGCGTCTTCTGATTGGTTGTTTTCTCGCTGAAAGTTATTCTGTCATCTCTTTGTGGCCATTACTTTGAAGATCAGGCTATATATCTGCTAATCGTATCCGCCCACGCAAAGTTTGCTGTGACTGGTTGTTGAGTTAGTCTTTGTTCTTGTTCTTTTCTCATGACCAAGATTTGGGACGTTAACATTGATGTAAATTGCTGTCTACTTATCTGGCTAGCAGACAGCTCTCACCACAGTACTGCAATTTTTAATTCCAGTGTGAATAAAAGAGTTTGTAATGGATACACGGTTTTTTATTCGTTTGCATTGGCAGTGGAATATAGGGCTACAAGCTGGAGCTCTGAAGTTTCGGCAGCAGTGGTTTTATTTTTACGGCGTGAGATCGCTAGGCTCATGCCCAACTTTCTCTCTTTGACCAGGCTAAACGAGGTTTAGGAGTGCGTCAGCCGGGGATCGAACCCCGTACAATTTGAGTGGCTGGCGAGCATTCTATATTCTTATATTTGAAAATGTTAAGGTATAGTTATTGTATAATCAGAGACAGGAATTAACACGAATTTGATACAACTGACTACTTACTGAATTGATGTTTACCAATGTTATGACTTACTTCATGGTTTTTGATGGATTGTTTCTCGAAAGATGGTTCTGATGTTTTGATTCTAGAAGGTATTTTAAAAACAAAATAATAAAGTTAATAAATCCATCCATAAAAGTGACAAAAACAAATGACTAATATGTGCTTACAATCAGATACCTGAAAACACGAATCAGAAATCCACGAATGGTCTGTCAAGAAGTCTATATTGTTTATACATTGTATGATGCTGCCCACTGCTTACTGACTGATATCAGCGGTTGGATACCAATCACATTGATCAGTATTGATTATTTTTGAAATAATTTCAATGTGGTTCCTGTCACAAATCAACATCAGTTAGAGATCATTCGGAAACATAGGGATTACGCGAGATCTTTTCACCACAGACTGCGACTCTTCAGCAGTACACACTCACAATCTAGACTGGAATTGAACCCAGGAGCTTCAAGTTAATCGTTCAGGTACTTTGGAAGAGATTCAGTGACCCCTGAATTCTAAGTTTTGTCAATTCGCGATATAATGCTGCCCACAATCAATGCCTGCAAAGAACATTCACTTCACCTTGCAGTTGATCCTCTGAATAATGCAGGTTATTAAAATTTACTACTTTTACTTTAAATTAGTAGTATATCATAAATAGACAAAAAATCACTCACTTAGAATCAAACTGTCGCATAAATTCAGCATATTTTATATTTCCGTCTAAGTCTAATGGTAAATGGTCAAGGAATTCTTTAAACTTTTCATCGCTGAATTCATATCCATAATGATTGAATAAAATTATACGAAAATTTGATGGACTAACAATACCTGAACGATTTGGATCAAAATTTCTGTTACAAAAAGACAAACAAATATACAAAGAATAAATAAATTAAAGAAAGGGAATGGTGTGAATTAAATCCGCCTACTCATATATAAATCCATGGTCAGACTTGAAGCAAACCAAATCTCTACAAAGTAACTCTTGAAAACTCATACACCGCTTTATTTCTCCTTTTGGCGTACCATTATGTTCAACCATTTATATACACTAAACTAGCAGTTAGAAAAAAATGGTTTCATCTGTGTGAAGCACTAATCGAAAAGCGGAGTTGAGGACAGTTCTAGCCAGCACTTATTGCTCGTCAGACACATTGTGGTGATCTGAACATCGTAGTATCATTACGTTCGTTTGGAGACTTGATCATTTGAAATGACCAGGGATTAGTTTGTAATGGCGCTAGTTGTTCTCATTCTCTAATACTATATACCATAAAAGCTCACTTATTCAGTTCCCTTAACGCCACTTATGGTATCGAAAAGTTTACGACTCCTGGTAGGAGTAATTTTCTCTTATCAAAAGAGACCATAGACGAATCTCATCACCTGTCGAATGATCGAGTGCAATAAACACAAGCCTATTTCCGAGGGGAGCTTAGGACTTCAGTCTTTAAAGTTTCAGTGGCAGTGGCTCGTTTCTTTTATTTGGTTAAGTTAGGTTGATAACCTCATACTCAGGTCTTCCTTCTTTCCTGCCCTCCTAATGGCTAATAAACTGGCGGGGGTTATGAGTGCTGGTTCTGTCGTGCAACTGGTGAGCGTTCTGCTATATTGAATCACCAATGCGATTATTAAATTTTAGTTCCTATTCAATTAAGATATTAGTAACATAATTTTAAGTTTATGAAAATGTTTCTAATATTTCGTAAAACGCATTCACAATAACTTATGTAAAATATAGAATATATACAATTTATATCATATCAGGTTTCATTTCATGTTAGTTAGGGGAAAAAGTTATCAGGCATTAGCAAATACGACATAAAAAAAGCCTTTGGAAGAATCGGCTATAATTTACTCTGTAAATGATTGTGATACAATCTGAGATGGTTATTTTAGTGTAGTATATCAATAGGGATGACAAAGACATGCACATTTCTTTGGAAGTCTCTAGACTGATTCACTACCAGTCCTCACTTTTGATATGTCCTCAAATTATTGAAGTTTTTTTAATCGGAACACATCCATTTATCACGAAGCATCATTTCAACTGTAGCCGTAAACTATGAAGATGTCGAAATCAACAAGAATCGGAAAGGAAAGGCAGATATTCATCACTTTGAAATTAGTTTGAAAATCCCCTGCACTCAACACAAACGACGAAATTTTTGATTTTAAACAGTCAGTTCTCCAAACCAAGTAACTTTTTAGCAGTTTTAGAAAAATTTGGGCATTGGGTATATGATATTCATTATAATAAAGGTTTTTTGTATTTCCCAATGAATGAAAAACAAAACGATGTTGTTTGGTTTACTGACGTTTCTCTATTTAATGCTGCTGCTAATAGCTTTATCAAAGTATTATTAAACCGTGAAACACACTGCAAAACAACCTTGTCCATATAAAAGACCAAATCCCTAAGGATTCTCTATCTAACTGTGTCTATAAAATAAAATCCTTGGAATGTGATGTGATTTACATCGTACAAACATCTCGAGAAATCAAAATCAGAAGAAATGAACACCGTAGAGCCGCCTCTGTTCGACCACTGAGAAATCCAGTCGAACTAGAAAAGCTTGAAAAATCATCAGCCATAGGTGGTCTACTCGCTATAGAATCAGGCCACAAAATTAATTTTGACAATATTGAAATCATCATCCAGAAAAAGCATTTCAGAAATCACAAAGAACGTCTCACATCATCAGAAGCACTTCATGTTGAGTGGAGTCCAAATTGTCTGATGAATAGAAATGATGGACTAAAACAGAATCTGACCTGGTTACAGCACACCCCTCCCCCATGACATGACGAAATCAACACGAATGTGATTAGCAATTTCATCATGTAAACACACGCTGCTTTTATAATTTCACACACTTATCAAATCAAACAATCTACACACCTGGTTTTGTTATCTTTACCAAATGGCCAACTTGACAAGGCAAAAATGACTCCGTGCTGAGGAACGATGATTGAGTTGTTATATATAAGCTGAGTGTATTTTGTAAATTCTGGTTTAATAATACTTTGATAAAGCTGTTAGCAATAAATAGTGAGACATCGGTCAACCAAGCAATATCGTTCGGTTTTTCATCCATAGGGAAATACAAAGGCCTTTATTATAATGAGTTATTTCTCTTATATGGGTTAGAAAATTGGCCAGAGCATCACGGAAAAGCATTCCCGACCGGTTGTAGACTTGTATCATTAGCTCTCTTCATCGGCTCCATATTGAATACCAGATGATAGGAAAGAATAAGCAACAAGAAACAATAGAAACTAACTAATCAAGAATCTATCGTTCAACAAATAATGCCGAGGAAAGCTGGGATGAACTGGGCACTCTCTGAGGAGTCCATTGGGAGGCATTTCGCACCAGACCATCCATCAAGTGAAGCTTCAGTGGGAAGGGACAAGTTGGGCATCGGTCTGAGGGTGACATGGAGGAGATCATGTGAGGAGGAGATGAGAGGTTATGAGCAATCCCGGGCCCATGTAAAGAGGACCACAGAGAATAGGACTAAGTGGAGATGCGCTGTTAGAACCCTATGTTCCATTTGGAACCCAGGGGAACAATAGTAAAGCAATAATAATAATAATCCAGATTGATTATATCAAGGGGAATTCAATAGTGAATTCCCCATCTGAGTAGTCTCCAGTTGAACAAAGCTTCAACCACTTTAAGTAATGAATCGAGCTACACGTAATTTCTGCTAGTAATAGGAAATCATAGCTGAATGCTTTAATAGTCTTATTGATTCTTAGCTTATCATGGTAGACAATTTTCAGTGATCATCCCTGAAGAGTTGAAAATCAGACACATACTCTTAAGTGCATTCAAATTCAAGGTGTTAAACATACCTGAGTGTATTAAGTAGTGTTAAAAAATCCCTATGAAATTTCCGAGTCATTTCACGTTCAAGCTTGATAATATTTTCATCTCTAAATATAGAAAAAATAATGAAAAGTTTGATATACGAAAGCTAAATAATTATTGAACTAATTATAGCATAATAATTGACACAATACGATATAATTATTTCTTCATGTCTGTGTGATTTCTTGTTGACATTTCCGGATCGAATTGATTGGCTTACTCAATGGAAAATCGGTAACAAATGGCTAAAGTCAGCTAGAACAGACCCATACCAGCTCATCTACAATGGACAAATGGCTCCATCGGGTTGAATCAATGTGATTGCATAACCTGAGAGTTTGACCTTGTGCGATCAATATAATTGGTTATTCACCGGCTTAACTTTTTGAGGTGTGAAATAATCGTATATCATGTACTTCTGTATAATTAAGTCGAATTGTTAACATTGGTATGAGTGAGTTTGTCCCCACTTTTCATGGACTTTGGGAGTCAGAATTGTAATGGTAGAACAAAAAAGGGGTTGCTAACGGAACTTTCATACGCAGTTTCATATAGACATATAGGGAAATTAGATGCACCACCTATTAATATCCTCGTTTTGCACAGATCTTCCATGTTGTGCTACTTCTTCCCCTCACATTGTGTTTCTTTGTCTTCTTTTTGTGTCTCCCGTGTTTTGCTGCAATACGCGTTCATTTCCTCCATTTGACGTTAAACTAATCTCTCCGCTACTTTATATTTTGGGGTCGATGAAAGTCTCTTTGTACACTACTTATAAATCTTGCCTTCTACGAAGTTTCAGCAACGCTGGGGTTATTCTTATGTTGGGGGGGACTGCTAGGCCAGCGCCCACGCGCCCCTCTTTTCTGAGTTTACCGTCGGTTAGTAAACTGGGTGGCTTATGATTTCGTCGGCTAGAAATCGGACCTAGACCAGCCCTGTTGTTGGTGAACATTCTAAAGTTGAATTAAAAGTCAATCTGAACGAAAAATATTCTTTTCAATAATTTCTCCTCTTCAGGTTCTTACAGTTATAAAATATAATGATATTTGTTGTCGTTACAATAATGATAGCTAGGCATGTGGCAGATACATTTTCTTAACGTAGAATAACAGATTAGTTATTGGGTGTCAAAACACATAGTCCTAACTGTATGACAAACGTGCTAGGCTGAAATCGATTACAAAGCATTGTGAAATGGGAGACGATGGTGGTGATTAATCATAATAGATTTGTAGAGTGTGGAGTAGGAAAGACTGACAAGTGAGTTCAAGGTTATAGAAGGTGTCAGTCAGGTGAGTGGCTAGTAAAAAGTGGTCTGTGTTAAACAGGAGATAGTAAGACTGCAATGAGAGGTTCTTCATGAAATAAGGAATGTGTGAAATGAAACAGGTGGAGGCATATATTGAGAAAAGAGATAATATCACTAATAATAATTCCGGATGGTATAAATGGAAAATTCGCTAGTATTGAGAGAATGTTTGCATGAAGGGTTTATATTGTGACGAATAATAATAATAATAATTGTAATGATAAGCAAAGAAAATAAACACTAAAGAAACCAAGAGGTTTAAGGGGAAGAGGCACTCTTGGTGAGAAGAAGAATCATCAATCCAAGTTTGGCCACGGTAGGAACAGTGTCTGGACGTGTTCTTTTTGGATGCAAAGTTCCGGTTTAGTCGATCTTATTGCAACAGCTTCAGCTATGTATAGGAGACGTAAGCGAACTGTACGTGATGATGACTTCGGAGTTTCATAAATAACCATGAAGGCTGTGTTTACATCGATGCGATGTCCAGTATCGACCAAGTATGACAGAACCGAGCTTTTTATGCATTTAATTCCCCCACCCCTAACTGATTCAAGTGGGTAAATGTCCTCGAACCTGTAGACGAATCTGTCTAATCTTACATCCTATATAACTTGAACCACAGGAACAGTTGAAATGGTATATGCATGAAGAAGAGCTAGGGTCAGGTAAGACATCTTTCAGTTTCTAGCTGAACACTCGACGGCGCATAACTGGTCATTATTGTAACAGCAACAAAGTAGCTAAAGAGGGGAAATTATTGTAAAGAATATTCTTCGTTCAGATTGACTTTTAATTCATAATATGGGAATATTTCACACTAGGGAATCTTATAATTCTAACAGTGGACCACTGACTCAATGGAAGCCCTGTTAACAGTTTATTAGCTCAAGTATGTTGAAATTCACTTGGATCTTCAACAGTAATTTGTTTCGCTTATCACTACTCTTCAGTAAAGATTATGCGTAGGTTTGAAGGAGATTTTATATCCTCTGAGATTCGAACTTACATCACAAAGTACTTTAGACGGAATACTTAACCAATATGAGTTTAGATAAAGCAATAAGAAGACGTAATTTGTCTGAATCGTTTAATGTGTATTTGCGCAACACATTTCGAACAATCTGATCACACACGGACTTGTCATGGAAATATATATGAAAATAAATAAAGAGGTGAGAGGTGAGAAAACAGACTTAGACCAATCAGGAGATATAAAGTAGTCAGAACACCAAGACCCACTCTCCAACTCGCCCCTAAGAAAGACGTGCACATCAAGTTACCCTATATGGGGCATCAAAGCAGCTTGATAACTAGACAAAGACTGAACGCTGCTGTTAAAAAGACTTTTAATGCAGCCAATATCATAATAGAGAGAGAATGTAAAGCCAATATATCTACCTAAGCCCTTCAAACATGCAAAAAATGACGTCACATTCCACTGTATTTACCAATTTGAATGTACATGTGGACACACATACATAGGGAGGACTCATCGATCTCTGCAAGTAAGGGCTTCAGAGCATATTACTAAATAGCTCCAGAAACAAATGGAATCTTCATAACCTATTAACGGGGAGAACAGGAGACCTAGCTCTTCTATTGCGAAACATATTATAGAGACAGGGCATAAAATTGACGTTTACACATCTTTTAAACCTATCTATAATACGTGTTTGGTGCGTGTCCTTAAGTTTGTGGAAGCCCTGGCTGGCAATTAGGAAGTTTAAACCATCTTTATGCGTTCAAAAACATTTCGTCATCACATTAAACCTTCCTTGGTAAATTTTGTTTTGATACCAGTTAGGCAGATATACTATTACCTCTGCTATTTGGTTTAGTGGTCTTCGTTCTTATATTGACCTTCAATATGTCCTTTTAACTTAACCTAACCTGTCTATTTTCTTACCACTTACCTCTTTATTAATTTCATATATACAAATTCCTATGACAAGTCCGTGTGTGTGATCAGATCGTTCGAAATGTGTTGCGCAAATACACATTACACGATTCAGACAAATTACGTCTTCTTATTGCTTTATCTAAACTTAACCAATAGTATAATCACCTCAAGTTTTTCCATCTATAGAACAAAATTATACACCTACAGTTGATAATTCAAACTCTCAGCTTTTTTCCTGCTACATTCCTAACATCAGCTAAATATATTGCATGACAGAAAGATGGTACAACTTCAGGAGATTATAGAGGAGTTCATAATTTCCTTAATGACCTCTTTAGAATCCGTACAATAATCAAGGAGGTTATTAGAATATAGATTTATTTAGAGATTCGAAATAATTGTGGTGTTGATTTTGATATGAATCAACACCGTTAGGGGATCATTGGAATCTAGGGAGGACTGAACTACTACTTCGTCCTAGATTACGCTTCTTCAGCAGTGGGTACCCACGAACCCACCAAGCTTAGAACCTGAAACCTTCAGGTTATCAGGTCAAGTGAAATCTATATTGAAATTAATCGAAACCCATCTAAAGACCCATAGTCAACCTCTATCTCACTGACGGCTACTTCATGGATGTCCTGAAGATGTACTGATGCCCACTGACGGCAGTGACTAGGAGTGCAGCTCTGTATCATGAATTGACAGAAATTAGAAATCACGGATCATTGAATTCCAACTCAAACGGCTGAGCGGTTGACGAACGTGGTCCCATGACCTGAAGCTCCATGCTACCATCCATAGTATGGTTGTGGATGTGTATTGTTGAAGAGTCTCTAAGTCGGACGAAACACGCAATCAGTGCACTCTAGTATCCAATGATCTCTCTAAATAATGTTGATACATGACGAAAGTATACACTGAAATTAGATTTGATGAGTATTTACTAAAAAATTTTATTTTGAACCAAGCTTATGATTAATAGACACGTTAATGGTGACAAAATTTATCAGTCAGCACAGAAGAAGCCACACGAGGAAGATAAGAAATATAGGCTTAAAGCGGTAATCAGTTTCCCTAAAAGTAAATACAACCATACGAATATCTCGATGGGCAGCCAATCATAGTCAAGTTCATCAGGAACGATAGATAATTCATAATAATAATAATAATTTGCTTTATTCCAAAGCAGTACTTGTAATACACAATGGAATTCTCAGCATTTTTACTACAGTATTGCATCCAGTTAGTACTCTAACAATAAATAAAATTCTACATAGATTATGGGTAGTCTCAGTTAGTTTTGACAACAACATATTGGCATATCAGTAGCAAAGCCAAAAGTGAACAGAATGTTTGAAGGTATTAGAAAAGTAGGTGCTAGCATATTTACTGGCGTAAGCGAGAGAAAGAAACAAAGCAGCACATAACGGAAAAGAGAGAAAGAGAAAAGGAGAAGAAAGAAAGAAAACGTTGTACTTATAAATTACATGAGTTGGAAAGACGAGATCTAGTTGTTCTACTGGCTACTTAATAAGTTGTTGGTATCACACCTAATGCTTTCTTTATCACACAGAACATGAGCTAAGTAGGGTATGGTTGAGTTTTGTACTTGCTAGTGCGAGCATATAGTTTTCTATATAGGCTTCTGGTTTTGCCTGATGAGATGCAAGGGGAGAGTTGTGAATGAAGAGGGTGGTGTGAGTTAGATAGAATGGATTTGGCCCATTTTTCACATGAGTCCATGTGCCTGTCAACCAGAATATTAACAAGCTGGTTAAGTGGCACGTTGCTTACCCTGCTGACAACCTTTAACACCCTATGTAATAAGATATAGTCCTTCTTCAGTAGCCCGGGAAAAACTAAGGGGGAACAATAGAGAATAATAGGCAGGATGCAAGAGTTAACGAATCGTAGGAGTAAGGGTTGGGTTATTCCAGAATGTCTTACCTTTTTGATGTAGAAGGTAAGACGGAATAATCTCTTAGAAATCATCAAGATATGAGACGACCAGGAAAGATCAGCAGATAGAATGATGCCTAGGTATTTAATTTCCGACTTGGTTTCTATTTGCACACCTCGTGAGAGCTAACCAGTTTTTTAGGTCAGATTTCTGCCTAAGGGTGAAATTGACTGTTTGACATTTAGAGGGATTCCCTTGGACCACTGGCTGATTTCTGATAAAAAGCCATTTAGTTTGGAGCAGTCACTTTGACACTTGACAGGCAAAGATACAGACAGATCATCAGCATATTTACCAACATTAATGTCATTTGAAGATGGTAAGTCATGTAGAAAGAAAGAAAAGAGAACTGAGGAGAGTACAGCACCTTGGGGGACACCAACTTCAGTGAGCACAGCAGAGGAGGATTTACCTTTGTATACAGTGTACTGCATTCTGTTTGACAAATAAGAATGCAACCAGTTTGTGACCCAGGACTCTGTTTGTGTCATCGAGAGCTTATAAAGCAAGAAACATCTAGCTACAGAGTCAAAAGCAGAAGAGAAGTCAAGAAAGTGCAACGAACGTATTTGGCACCTTTATCTAATGATTAGACGATACTGTTGTGTAAAACGGCTGCAGCATCTAAAGTGCTCCTACCCTGTCTATATGCAAATTGTTTGGTGTCTTCAAAACTTTTAAGGGAGGGTTTAAGTTTAAGAAGTACTAGTTTTTCCATGAGCTTTAGAAATGGGGGAAGTAATGGCAATGGGTCTGAATTTTACATTCTTGCTATTTCCAGGTTTAGAGACAGGGACTATTTTAATGTCTTTCCCATACAATAGGCACAACGTTTTTAGAAGAATAAACGTTTAGGATGTTAGTAAGTGGAGAACATAAAGTTTCTGCACATTGTTTTAGAACAAAAGCAGGTACATCATCAGGGCCAAGGCTACGTGAGGGCTTAAGCGTTTTAAGACATTTTAGAACATCCTCCATGAGGAATTCCTAAAGCCCACTTCAAATTAAAGTCAGCGTTGAAAATGTTGTCCTGAAGAACATCGAATACACAACAACACCAAAATCAAAACTTACCTTTCAGAAGACGACACTTTCTTTGAGATCAGTGTATCTGTTAACAACTGGTGCACAACACCTGCTTCTGAACGATCTTGAAATCGTCGAAATAATTCAGCATATGGTAATAAACTGTTATTAGTAACTGTTAATCCATAACGTGAAAAAAATTTTCCTAATTGTATTTTCTCTAAAATAGGCAGTTTTAAATACTTTAAAACTTCTAAAAAGATATCTGCATTTGTAAAACCTTCAGGCAGTTTAAAATTATTGTTATTTTGTAAAGAATTTGAATTCCGCTCCAAATTACTGATATAATTTTTAGTACAAATTTCAATAGCCTTTAATGCTTTACGATATCCTTTACGAAATTTTCGATTTAAATTTGAAATAATATCGGTGGCTGATAGTAATTGCGATTGATTCGGTGGTGTTGCGTCAACATTGGTGATTGCTAAAAGAATAAGGACAAAAGACAAAAATAATTCTACAGGATAATATATGTGAGTGGAAAATAAATTTGGAACCATTGATTACTAAAAAAGGAAAATAAAACCCGGGAAGTATTAGACAGCTGTTTCGCCCCCCCCACTCTGGGACTCTTCAGTAGTATATATCCAGGAATTCAGCAAGGATTGGACCTAGGACCTTCAAATTACGGGATGTGCACGTTTGTATTATTTAGCCACTATGACAGAATCCAGTGGTCTTTAAAATCTGACTTCTGTCACGAGTGCATACTGTTGAAGAGTCCGTAAATGGGGCGAAACAACTCTCTTCTAACTGATGAGATTTCGTAATTAAATCAAATCCGTATAAGTTAGCATTTTTAAAAGTGCAAACATCTGATTTCACAAATATACCTAAGGGTATGTATACATAAATGTTTTAAAGTATATTGATTTTTGATAAATCTTCATGTACTGTTCATTTTGACATGATTAATATTTTTAAAAATACAATATCCGTGTTTAAAAGTCTGTGTTGGTGTAGTGTAGTTGATTGGTAAACTGATTAGCCATTAACTAAGCGATGTTTGCTATGGCTTGGACACGATGATCTTCATGTGAAACAACACTTTGATGGTGAAGTCGGTGACTTCGGAATAAGGTTCCCGAAATTCATACCCAAGGCTTCTTAACCGGTAATGTCAAACGCAAGAAAGCATAGTTTAGAAAACAACAAAAAAAAATACAGTTTCAGTGGGAGAAGATAAGACACTTTGTAACGAACCTTTATTAAGGAAAAACAAATCACATTAATAGTTAATTGGTGGATAATGACTAGCAGGGGAATCCAGGATGCACATTTCGTCCCATCTGAGACTCGTCGTCTGGATGTACCTACGTTCCGCAGTCCAATCAATCGACGGGGAAATCTAGAATTGAATTAAATAATTAAAATGACCCTTTGTACAAGAGGTGGCCGTCGTGGCCCAAGTGGTCTAGGGGATAAAACTTTGGCGTTTGAAACTATAGGCACTGGGTTCAAGCCTCGGTGGGAACATGATCGCTCACTGAGGAATGAAGGTACATCCAGCTGGCGGACGAGTCCCAAATAGGTCGAAATGCGCCTTATCTTGGATTCCACTGCTAGCCAACATCCACCAGTTAACTTCTAATTACATGGCCAGACATCGTCAAGGCACCTGCACAAGAAGCCGACGTGTCAACCTGAGATCGAGCACTTCAGTCCAATCAATCGACGGGAAAATCTAAAACTGAATTAAATTCACATTAAAGTTCGACTAGGTTAGAGGATAACAAATTGTACTGATTGGTTGAAGATTGTCCCAAGGTTAAGCAAATCGTCCATTGAGATTATTTCAAGCTGAATTCAGATTTAAACAATAATCACATCTACCTCTGCAGCGATTGACATAAAATTTTGATTTCAGTTTTATTCTCTTTCTTTCAATCTGCATCATGCTTTCCTATAGGGTGAATTTTCAAACTGTGAGGTGATAAAATGTATTGAGCAGTTTATAGCATTTTGTACGCATTAAGCTTATTGATTATAAAACTTTCTAAATGCTTTATATGGCGTCTTATATTGAATATGTTAAGAAAGTTGGTATGAACGAGAACAGAACAGTTTACTGAGAGTCATACATCTTACTATTTAACTGTCATATGTGGCACAAGTACCTCCAGTACTCTGAAATCAGTGTGAAAATCTACTGTGCTTAGCAAAAAGCATAAGATCCATATCTTCAGTACTAATGTCAAGTTAGTCAATGCTTTTATCTGATTCCCATACTTGACGTCTCACGAAAACCATTTCCAGCGAGCTGCCTTCGTTGGCTCCATACTAAAGATCAGATGGCCAGTGGGAAAGGATTAGCAACAGGAAACTCTGGTAAGGAACCAACTGACAACGTATCACTCTACAAATATTCAGAAGGGAATGGGGGTGACTTGGACAACAATCAGCATAAATGGGAGAAATCTGAAAGAAGCAAACCCCTCTACCTACCTACCTACCTGGGAAGCATCATTTCAACTACAGGCCAACGCAGCTGATGAGGATATCAAAGTGAGTATTGGGAAAGCAAGACAAGCTTTCACTACTCTCAAGTCTGTTTGGAGGTCAACAGCACTCAGCATGAAAACGAAAATAAGATCCGGATTTCCAACTCCAATGTGAAGTCAGTCTGTGCTACTTTGCTATACAGATCAGAGACTTGGCGCCGCGACGAATCACGAATGGCACCTCGAGCAAGCTACACACCTTCATCAACAGCTATCTTCGCTCAATACTACTCAAGATCAGATGGTCGGCCAGAGAAGATCAGCAACAGGGATCTCTGGGAACGAACCAACCAACCAGTAGCCAATTGTGCAACAAATATGCAGGAAGAAATGGAGATGGATTGGACTGGCCATAGTCTGAGAAAACAAACCACCAAGTGATATCACACTCCAGGCCACCGGTGTAGTGGAACCCAAATGGGAAGCGACGACTTGTTCGTCAGTGCGAGGGTGACATGGAGGACGTCATGTGAAGAGGAGGTGAAAGCATGTGGGCAGACGTGGAGTCAGGTGAAAACGTTGACAGAGAACCGAACTTAATGGAGACATGCAGCTGAATCCCCATGTTCCTCTAGGAACTAAAGGAAACAGTAAAAATAATAATAATAGACATATGCTGTTAAGTGATATCACGCATAGGGTCCTCTGGCGGAACCTGAATAGGAAATGTTGAAAAATTTCGTTTTAGGAGAAACTGAAAGCTTATGGGGAGTCATGGAGGCAGCAACAAAGGACTACAGAGGACAAAGTTTAGTGGGAATGTGTTGCTGAAGGTCAGCGTTCCACTAGAAACCTGGCAAAATAATGATAATAATAGTGTGATTCAAGGGCAACAACTTCTTGCTTGCCATGGTGAGATTCTGATTGTATTTACCAGTTGTTATGATAGAAATGAAGGAATAGAAGCAGAAACTATTAGTTTTCTTCAGGTGAAGTTTTTAAAGGGAGTGTTATTGCTGTTGTTTTGACGTCAAGAATGTCACTTGTTTGGGTGTGGTTAGCAATGGAATCTGCGATGGGCGTATCTTATCACTTACAAGTAATCAGATGAATACAGTTCCATTCCAATGAGTAGTGAAGTCAATCATTTCAATCCAGAAATATTGATCAGATATGAGCGTTTCATCTTGTGGTGGAGTTTGAAGTGATAAGAGTTGTTGTGGGTTGCAGTGGGAACAGCCTTACCCACTGGGATTCATGGTTGTATTGAGGTATCCATCTGTGGGACCTTTATTTCAAGTAAGATTGGTCATTTTGCTCCAGGTATATAATACAGGTGTGAATAAATAATGTTAAGAATGTCACTGTGCAGACGAGTTCCGAAGTTATGAACAGGAGCTTGAATAACAACTATTCTACAATAAATTGTGATATCTAACATTTCAAAGGATGGTGATATCTCATTAAGAGTCCCCTGCTAAATTCTCTACGAAACGATTTTATTTTATAATCTGTCCTTTTGTATTTACATCAGTTAAGGTGATTACGAGTTCAGCAAATCCATTTGGAAGAATATGATTGACTACAGCTCGATTCATGTCTGTTGCTTCCCAGTCGCGTCATGAAAAGCATTTTCATCAAGTTTCTGCAAACTTCCATCAATAAATGCCTTCGCTATCCCCATACTGTAGATCAGAGGGCCGGACAGAAAGAATAAGCAACAAAGAGCTTTGGAAGATGGAGAACCAGCTAACATCCCATCGTCCAACAAATATGCTGTAGGAAGTGAAAGTGCATCAGAAATACGTTGAGGAGGCCTTTGAATGACACAGTGTGCCAGCACAACCCTGTCCCCTAAAGTGGAACCTGAATGGGGAACGACAAGTTGGGCCTTCGTTAGATTGTGACACGGAAGCGATCATGTGAGGTAGAATTGAAAGTAAAATAATTATGGTGCTGAAGAGAACAGAACGAAATGCTGATGTGCTGTTAAAGCCTAGTGTTCCAACTCGGAACACAAGGAATAATTTTCAAGAGTTGGTGTGTAAGGATTAAATTTGTTTTTACGAATTTGACCACGGATTGGTATCAATTAGAGAACCATTGAAAACCAGCAGTGGAGTAATGGATAGCTGTCTTATCCTAGTTTGGGAATTATCGCCAGTACGCATCCACCACCAGGGTTTGAACCCAGGACCTTCCGGTTACAAGGCAAGCTCGTATACCATTCAGCCACTGGGACACAATTCAGTGGCCAGCTCATGAATTGTAACTTCTACCAATTCATGATATAGCTCGATCACCAACCAGTGACATCTGTCGTGACGAGTGAGGTCCAACTAGTCAAGTGTGAAGATGGAGTTCCCACCGATGACACTGGTTGGTGGTTACGCTAAATCACGAATTGGTGGAAGTTAGAATTCATGGACTGGCCACTGAATCACGTAGCAGTGGCTGGATGGTATACGAGATTACCTTGTAACCGGAAGGTCCTGGGTTCGAACCCTGGTGGTGGATGCGTACTGCCTATGATTCCCAAACTACGATGAAGCAGCTGTCCAGTACTCCACTGCTGGTTTTTAATGGTTCTCTAACTGATATCAATCCGTGGTCAAATTCGTAAAAACAAGGAATAATAATAATAGTAATCCATGTTTCCAGGATACTTTCAGTAGACACAAGATTGGTCTATTTCTCTAGGTCATATTTTTGTATGTTAATCTTAATTTACTAACTGTTTCAAACTAAATGTTTGTATTCTGATATCACTTAACTAGGATTGTGTGTGTATAATGCAGCTTTTTCGTGACCACTCATCAGTTAACCAGTCGAACAACCGATGGAAACAGTAGATCAGCTGATGTCAGTCTAACTCACCTTTTGTTGCAATGACTGTGAGCTAAGTCAACTACATAGGTCAAACTAGTAGATCAGGAGTAGTCAGACTGTCGGAACATAAGAATTTAGCTAAGGTTAGAATGGCTGACCCAATGAAGATAAGTAATTTAGAAGAAAGCTCAGTACTTTATTGCACTGCATGCAGTAACACAACCACACAAAATAGGGTGTGAAAGAGTTAAAATTCTAAAAAGTAACATAGGTAGGTGGAGAGGGAGATCGATTACTGAATCCTTGTTCATCGAGTCTATACCCAACACGTGCAATAGGAATGACTCATCACTCATACCAGAAATAGTGAAAATACTAGCACCAATCAAGACAAGCGATGAAAAATAATAATGGAATTATATTAATGAAGTTAGAAAGTTGTGTGAGTAGTGTCTTGATATGATTGCGAGCAGCAATACACTGTGCTCAGAACGCGGTCATCAGTAAATATTCCTGTATAACACTGTGAGACTTTATCAAAATAAATTTTACCCATAATGGAATTATAACTCACCACTCCAGATGTGTAAACTGCCAGTTGTGAATTGGATTTATGACACGACCAATTCGACCAAGTGGCTAACCAGGAATCGGATGGTTTGAACTGATTCAGCGCTCCAAGCTGAGTCACACCGGGGTACATCGCCTCTGATGAGCTGGGTGCTGAACGAGCAAAACGGCCGCCTAGTGTTCAGATCACCTCTGCCTAGCTGGCATGGAAGCACTACTGGCTGATACGAGTGGTGGTATACAACTACTCATTTCACTCAATCAGTAGTATATGATTTTATGATGTAAATCTAATGTAATTTTATGTTTGATTTATTATTATCATTATTGTTGTTTCCTTTAATCCCTAGAGGAACATATGGATTCAGCCGCACGTCTCCATTGCTTTTGGTTTTCCACCAATGCTTTCATCTGGCTCCACGTCTGCTCACATGCTTTTGTTTCCTCTTCATATGACCTCCTCCACGTCATCCTCGCAGTGACGATCAACTCGCCACTTCCCATTAGGGTTTCATTCGAGAGATGGCCTGGCATGTGATGTAACTTGATGGTTTGTTTTATCAGAGTATGGCCAATCCAATCCACCTCCATTTCTTCCTGGATATTTGTTGCACAATCTGTTCCTGCTTGGTTGGTTCGCTCCCAGAGATCCATGTTGCTGATCTTTTCTGACCGGCCATCTGATCTTGAGTAGTATTGAGCGAAGACAGCTGTTGATGAATGTGTGTAGTTTGTTCGAAGTGCTCTTCATGCCATGCCACATCTCTGAACTGCATAGTAAATAGCATTGACTTCATATTGGAGTTGAAAATCCGGATCTTATTTTCATTTTCATGCTGAGCGGTGGTGTTGACCTCATTGAAATAGTCGTCAATTGGATTACAGTAATACAACGAATTCTCAATATCACAACAGTCATCAAGAAAATGACATCTCACAACAGAAAAGACTTCTACAACTCACCTAAAAGTGTATTTTTCGATTGTAATTCATTATTGCGATTACTAATCAAATTCATATGCTGTAGAAAATATTCAATTGGTATACTTGACTCATTTTTTGGATTAAATCTGAAATGAAGATAAATTTAAATTTGTCAGTAGACTCTTCTAGTTTGGTTTTGAAAAAGAAAACTAAAGTATTATCGTCGCCAGTGCAGATTAATTAGTTGTAGAAAAAATCCCCATTTAGACATTTAGAAAACAGAAAGATTGAGCGAAGAAATATTTACTTTTCAATTAGATCCTCATATCTGGCTCTACTCTAATATACACGTACAGCATTTTTATTACAATACACAACAGTTTACTAATCAAGTGGCACTGATATGTTTGTTAACAATAATTAGTCAGTATCAACATGTCAGTGGGGTGATAATTAACGAAGAAAATTAATACACACAATTAAAAGGTAGAAATGGTTGCAACACGTGGATTACGTAATGCATAATTTTGGAAAAATGAAGAGTAATTAAGGGATAAGCGTGTGCACAGGTTGATTACGTAACAGATTGTAGTCATAAGAATTAAATAATTTTACAAAGATAACATGTAATTAAAGATGAAGTAGTCAGAAAAATAATTTGGACAGTTATAAATTTTAAAGGTTTGGGGACGAAGTAGTCCGACTTATACATTCATGTAACGATGGACAAGGTAAGGCAAGTGACTGTACAAATTTCTTCTGAACACACAGGTTTGGCTTCTTCAGGTGGATTCCGAATGCTTCAGGTGTAAGTAGAAGACGAACTCGTAAAGCGAAATTAAGGTTAGTGGGAATGCGATAAATAATTTTAAATGCTATATTAACATCAACCTTATGCTCACTACCTACAAGGTGTGCTAAAATAGAGCTAGCTATGAATAGATCTTGTTTGTCTCTTGCTTAATCATGCTGGATGATATCCGGAAATACGATGATGAACCTGCCTAGTTGTACGCCGAAAGTAGCTGGCTCCACAGATGCAGTCAAACTGTTAGATACACATAGAAGAGGCAAATTTAGATAGTTTATCCTTATTTCTCAAACGTAGAATAGGGGTGGTAATGAAGAGATAACGTACTTCTGCCGCATAATAGGCTATTTTCACTGCATTTTTCAGGGACTGTGTTATTATTTCGCTGATGCTGTCAGCAGGGAACTGCAGTTCTATGAGCAGTGGTTTTTCGGAAGTGTTGCAGTTAATTTTGTCACACAGTGTAGTGCTTTGCAGTAATGTTTACTGATGCGACCACGTTTCTAGCACAAATAATTGCTGCTCATAATCATATCAACGTATTCTCACACACAACTTTCTTGCTTCATTTATATACATGAGTAAAAATTGATGATTAGACATTTGAATAAAAAGCCAACATGAGATAAAGTACATTCGGAAATAATAATACGAGTGTTATCAATCAAATACAATTAGATGGGAAATAAGATGTTTTTTATGGTAAAAATAAGTAACTTGTTGGAATGTTATAATGTGAATTGTATACATTTAAATATTAATTATTATTCTCCGATTTGACTGGTGGTAGTAATATCTCGTATATCTCTGGTATTCGCGTCGAGTTACTTCTGTTGCACGTGTTGAGGGTGGATTATTCGATGAACCAGGATTCAGTAATCAATCTCTCTCGCTCTCCGCCTACCTATATTACTGCTTAGAATTTTCGCCCTCTCCTACCCTATTGTGTGGTTGTGTGTAAGTGCAATGCAGTTCTGAGCTTTTTTCTAAATTACTTATCATCTCGGAGTCAACCATTCTTACCTTAGCTAAATTCTTATGTTCTGACAATCTGACTACTCGTAATCCAGTACTAGTCTGACCTATGTAGTTGACTTAACTCACAGTCATTGTAGGATATTTTGTAAATTATATAATTTTGTCTAATTGGGTCAACCGGGTCCTTTAGCCTGCAGAGCTTGCTCCTGAGTGAGTTTTTAGTTTTTAAATGCTGCGGTGATTCCTGATTTATTTAGAATCCTACATAGGGTCTTAGATGTCTCTTCCTTATGTGACAAGACTGTAGACGTCTCATATTCTCTCTTATTTATGATTTCACTATTAGTTTCACCATTATTTCTATTTTGCTTTTCACCTCTTTTGATATTCCTGATGAATTTTAAGGGATAGTTATTCAACACCAACTCCTCTTCTTCGATCTGTTTCATTTCATCGTTTAGCTTTTTGTTGTACTGCTTGGTGCTACTGCTCGGTTTGTTAGACACTTAACTAAGCCTGACTTCACAGACAGACAACGGAAGAGACGAATTAAAGTCTACATATCCAGTATTAGGATGCGTCTGCTTTTTATAAACACCGCTAGTGTGCAGCGTAATTTACCGTCTTCTGTTCGTTTTATTTTGCAATCTGACATGGTGCATTCTCCTTGCTCCTTTCCCTAATCTAATGTGAATTTTATTCCCTTTACTAGTGAGTTTATATGTATGTCAAGAAGCTAGAGATATTTGTCATCCACTTTTCTCCACCATATTATCTTTGGAGTAGGCTTAAATGCATTTAAAGCAGTATTTTCCTAGCTGTCCATTAAGATATCTGCTACGATAGGGGATATTGGTGATCCATCCCATTGCTACACCATCTGTTTGTTTATATATTTTGTCCTGGAATTTAAAGATGGTAGATGTGAGGGATAACTGGATTCTTAAAATAATTTCCTTATCAAGTCTACACCCGACACCTACAATAGAAGTGACTCAACACAAATACCAGAAATATTGAAGATATTATTACCACCAGTCAAATAAGAGGATGATAAGTAATGTTAAAATGTATTTCAATTCAAGCACATCACAACATTCTAACAAGTTACTTATTTTTACTATAAAATCACTCGTCTTATTTCCCATCTGATTGTATTTGATTGATAACACTCATATTATTATTTCTGAATGTACATTATCTTATACTGATTTTATTCAAATGTCTAATCATCGATTTCACTCATGTATCTAAATGAAGCAAGAGAATCGTGTGAGAGTACTTTGATATGATTATGAGCAGCAATTAATTGTGCCTGGAACGTGGTCGCATCAGTAAACACTACTGTAAAACACTACACTGTGTGACTTTATCAAAATAAAATATTATCTATAATGGAGTTAAACTCCCCCACAGTGCCCAAGTCTTATTCTTATATCAGTATTACCGTTTATGGTTTTGTTAATTTCCATTGTAATGGTTCCCATACATGTCAGTTCTGCCTTCATCAGTTTTGTCCTATTTGATACCATTAATTTGTTTTATTCATATCAACAATAAGTGTGATGGTGACGGGTATTGAACACTTACTTTTTTATTTTGATTGCTTTACATTCCCAGTGGAACATAGAGCTGAAGTTTAGAGGCTTGAAGTCTCGGTGGCACTGGTGTTTGTTTTTACGGGATGGGGTTGCTAGCCTCATTCCCAACCTTCCTTTTTTACCAGTCTTACAACTGGCTTAGTGGGGTAAAGGATTGCATGTGTGCACACTTACTTAGGAAATACTAGGTGATAACTGTTGCGCAAAAGGTAGCCGTCGTGGCACATTGTCCTAGTGGACAGTGTTTTGGCGTTTGAAAGTTTCGGTGCAGGATTCAAGAAACAATGAGGTCATTACCATTCATTCTTTACGCAGTTACGTCCAGATAATGAGTCGTTAAATAGGACGAAACCTTCCTTCTGGATTTCGCCAATGAAAATAACTAAGCACTCTGTTTGTAGAAGCTTAAGATACTTCCAACCTTGAAATTATTTTTAAGCAATAATCCGTAAAAAGCAGAAGAGCAATACTAAGTCGTTGCTCTGACAACTGAACAGTAACACGCTTGTATAGTAGTCTGAATGTCTTCAGGTCGATCACTTGTTGGGCCATAGATGAAGTTGGTGAAGTATGGTGTTACTCAACTAAATGAACAGGTTATTCACCTACAAACTCACCTTTTCCAGAATTTTATAAATTCACTATTGGACATATGTAATCCAAGCTGGGATAATTTTTGGAAAAATTCATTCCGATGAATTAATTGATTTTCTCCATCATAATTATTCACGTTGAATAGATTGTCTAATTGCAGTGACCTATAGAGTGAGAAGAAAATATTCATTTTTAGATGTGGTTATTTGTTAACATGAATTATGGGGCAGAAGTAATTTAAATTCTTCATAATCAATGTTGTCTTGTTAATGTACATTTTAGAAGGTTATTCAGTCTACTCGAAAAGTCAGTTACGTAACTTTGGAAGTCATATAGGTGAGATTTTAGTTTTAGTTTTGATTGCCGATTCATGATTAATCCCCATGCAGATATTCGTTAATGAAAATAAAACACGTAGTTCAGCGAAGAGTCACTTTTCAGTGAATTCCTTGACTTAACTATACGATCGCATTTATGTATAATTATTTTTTTATGTGTGTGTATATTAGGTTTGTCAGGCAAGATTAAAAATTAGTTAGGCTTATTGTTCACGTCATCAGGTTGGTTATTCATAAGAGGGTGGTAGTGATGCGTTGTCAATGCATAAAAGGAGTTGAATAAATGTAACAGAGTTACGTAATAAGATGAATATAAATTAGTTTGATAGAGGCATTTGTTGAGATGGTATAGCCAGTGTTGGCAAGGTATTCGATTATCGCACTCCTTATAGAGACACTACTACCTTTCTGCTGCCTTAAGGGATACTGTTTTTCAAACCTCTGAGACAGGATACGCGTCGAACAACTGATGCACCTGGCTCCACAGAAACTGGTGCACTGATATATGCACACAGAAGTTGTCAGATGCGAGATCTTGTCCTTAAGGCTTTTGCACATCAATGGACCACTGGAGAACACTACTCACAGCGTTGATCAGATGAATGTTTTTCTCAAAGACGCTGAAATTCTCCTCTTAAAGATATCACACACAGGCTATGATTCCATTGAAGTCCAGGTTCATGTAAGGTTCCTATTTTGGAACAAGTAATTTTTCCTACCTTTGGACTTTTGGTTTGGTATTCTTGTCGATGAATCTTAGCGGGTATCCATTTGGGATGGTTTCTTCCACAGGATCTAGTTCTGATCCTAGGACGTGAGAACTGCATAGATGTCAGATCCGACTGGGCACCCAACTGTACAAGTTTGTTAGTTGACCATTCCAAGTGGGTTTTCTACAGACTGACTTTCTTAAGGTTCCATCGGGTCTTCTTGTTAGTTCCATATCCAGATAAGGAATTTCAAATTCGTTTTCCATTTCTGGAGTAAGTTGTATTTCCAGATGGCATTTGTCGATTACTTGTAGCAACTGAATAGGGTCATAACTATTGTCACAAATGGTTGCCGATTGACATTACTTAGAGAACTACTGGAAACCAGGAAGTAATAGACAGTTGTTTGTCCTAGTTTGGGACTGTTCATAAGTACTCATCTATGACTCCGAGGGAGATGGAACTCAATGGCCCTGACGTTGTAAGGCGAGCCAGTCGACCAGACATAATGCCCATGTTTTCATTTCATTGTGAATAGAGGAGAAAAAATCATTCGTAGTCTATGGAAATCGAGAATGCTATTAATTATTATTGTTTCCTTTAATTCCTAGAGTAACATAAGGCTTCAGCTGCACGTCTCCATTGCGTTCGGTTCTCTGCTGCAGTTTTCACCTGGCTCCAAGTCTGCCCACACGCCTTCATCTCCTCTTCACATGACATCCTCCAAGTCACCCTTGCACTGACGACCAACTCACCGCTTCCCTTTCGGGTTCCACTCGAACAATGGCTTGTCTAGTGATGTCACTTGATGGTTTGTTTCCACAGAGTATGGCCAATCCACCTCCATTTCTTCCTGCTTATTTGTTGCACAATCGGTTCCTGGTTGGTTTAATCCCAGAGATCCCTCCCTGTTGCTGATCTTTTCTGTCCATCTGATCTTGAGTAGTATTGAGTGAAGACAGCTGTTGATGAAGGTTTGTAGTTTCTTTTATATACTCTTCATAATATGCCAAGTCTCTGATCCTTATGGTGAATAGCACTGGCTTCACATTCGAGTTGAAAATCTGGATATTATTTCTGTTTTCATGCTGAATGCTGTTGATCTCCCCAAAGACTTGAAAGTAATGAAGGCTTGTCTTGATTTCCCTATCCTCCTCAGTTCCGTCCGCCTGTATTTGAAACGATGCTTCCCAGGTAGGTAAAAGAGGTTGTTTCTTTCAGGTTCCTCCTATTTATCCTGATTGTTGTCTGTTGTTGTTGCTGTTGGTGGTGTTGCCCAGGAATCTTCACCACCTCTGTTTTCTCTATGTTTACTTGGAGTCATATCTTTGAAGCTTCTTCTGCCATCTTGATGCTTTTCGCTTGCATATCTTCCAATTTGTAGGAAATCAGGCAAATATCATCGGCGAAGTCCAAATCCTCCAAGTATTTTGTGTGAGTCCATTTTATGCCTGTTTCCTCACTACCCGCTGTTTGTCGCATTATCCAATCTACTGCAATTAGGAAAATCATTGGCGATAGTAGACAGCCTTGTTTTACCTCCATCTTTACTTCGGAGGATTCCGTGAGTTTCCCGCTGTGGAATACTTAGCATGCAGCGTTATCGTACAGCTGTTGGATGAGATGTATAATTGTCGGCGGCACCCCGTAGTAGCGAAGTAGTTGCCAAATCACCTCTCGATCGACGCTGTCGAAGGCCTCTTATTATTTATTTCATGGGAATTATAGATTTAGTCTTCAGTTAATGCAGTCTAAGCTTTTTTATAGAAAGGAACTCGTCATCTACAAAGGCCAAAGTTTCAGCTGACATTTTACTAAGGCTTTCTTTAGAAATCTAACATGTTATCTACTTCATGCCGTGAATAACGTCAAGAAAGCAAGCAAAATTGAAAGACAGAAGTACCCAGATTTCAATTATAGTAACTAGTAGAGCTTATTAGCCACATCAAGGTGGTTTGTCGACTTACATTGATTTGATCTACACTTGAGTCAGAGCTTGGCCCTAAACGAACTAGACGGTTGCCTAGTGCTAACACCACCTTGATCTGACGAAAAGGGAATTACTAATTGACTTAAAGTGACTTACCGCGCCTTATGCAGTCTTTTTCATTGGAATCCAAAACTATAAGTATGTGGTATTACCAGTTCACGTAGTCTAAAGAAATCTGTTCCAGTGACTGTCACCGGGATTTCCAAGCTTTTTTTCTAGTATTTGTCGTTACATTAGTCGCTTCTTTGTTCACGGAAAAGAATTTTAAAGAGACAGTTTCCATGAGGAAACCTTGAGTTATAAGTTATTCGTATTATGAAGTTAACCTTTATATCTGAATGTATGAAATAGTGGTGCGTTGACGAAAAAATTTTCCGACATTGATACCTTGATCCACTGAAGTGACAGATTCATCTAGTTTCAGCAATTGTGGTGAAGTTTACTCACTTGGAAAGTGTCTAAGTTGACAGACTTTTAAATGTTTGACCATCGGAAACAAGTCCTGGAGTACTGGACACGTGTTCCATCCTAGGTCGGAACTCTCCATCAGATTTCAAACCCTTAACCAGCTGGTTACATAGAAAACTCGTAGACCATTCGGCTACTGAGATCTAACTCAACGGGCTAGACCACGAATTCTAACTTTTACGAATTCTTGATTTTTAGCGCAACCACTGGTCAATGTCATCGCTGGCGAGTATATGTCCTCACTCCTGATGGGATGGGTCCCACTGCTCACGACTTCTTACTAGAACTCCAGACAATTGCATTTTTTAACCGGTCACTACAGAGCATCAGGTTGATTTTCGAGAGTTTACCTCGTAGGGAGATTTCTAATTGCCTTTCAGAAACGGTACTATCACATTCATCTTATACAGCTCAGATTCACTGTTGTCAGCAAATGTCAGTTTATAGGTTTTGCTTACTAATCCACGGAAAAGACAGTTCACTGAGAAGTACACAAAACTGTGACCTCATTGATATTTTGATCCAGAGAATATGCTACTGAATATCTTTAACATAGTAGTTATATACAACTGATAAGTCCCAAAAATGATACACATTCCGCTATAACGTAGATTTTACTCAAAATACCCAAACGCAGACAGTAAACAAACCTGAAGAGCACTGATTACTTAAGGTTAAGGTAGTTGTTGTTATTACTTAATGATACTGCAGATTCTTCAGTCTTTTAGTCGGTTTTTAACACCTGCTGATACCTGCTGATCTACAAAAATATATTTAAGTATTGGATTGTGGGGATTTGATTGATTGGTTACAGGATTTCATCGTGAACTGACATTGGTTAGAGAACCATTGGAAAACCTGCAGGCGGTACTGGACAGCTGTTTCATCCTAGTTTGCGACTCTTCGTCAGTACGCACCCATCGGGGTTTGAACCCACAACAAGGCGAGCTCGTAGACCATTCATCCACTGGGACCCGATCCAATGTCAGCTCATGGTGAAATCCTGTAACCAATCAATCAAATCCCTACAATCCAATACTTGAATATCAATGAGATGCTCACTGGTGACTGGCCCTATTCAAACAGGTAGTTACCTAGGTTCTAGTGGGAGGTCGTGGCCAGTAGGGTGCTGCAGGTCGGATGTGTGGACAAATACTCGCCGTAAACATTGGCTACTGGTCACGCTTTATCGTGAATTGTCAGAAGTTGGAATTCATTGGATCGAGTCCCAGTGGCTTAATGGTCTACGAACTAGCTCGCCTTGTAACCAGAAGATCCTAGGTTAGAACCCCAATGGGGCGGGTGCGTACTGATGAGGAGTCGCAAACTAGGAGGATTTTCCAGTGGTTCTCTAACCAATGTCAGCTCATGATGAATCCTATAGCCAGAAATATATTCAACCAGTTAAATCTTTGTTTTAGATCAGAGAAACATTTCCTTATTACGCTTCTATTGGAGAAGAATAAGTCTGCGAAGGATGCAAATGTTTAAGCTGAGTTATTATCCTATTTCATTTGGGGACGACATTGCTTCGATTGCTCAGTGTTAGGATGCTTGTCAATTACGCATGACGTCGAGGGTTCTCTTCCTGACTGACGCAGTCCTACACCCCATATAGTGCATCAGCCGACAGTAAGCCGGAAAAATAGCTTGAAGTCCTATGTTTCTTGTCCAAAATGCAAAGGAATATAGAGAGAGTGGTCTGCTTGTCACCATAAATTGCAATCAATATCATGATGGAATACACTACTGGTTGTTATGAGTATTTAGGTTTCAATTATGAAAGCCAGTAGAACATGCTAGCCGCGTCAACGTAATGCTGTGGTGAGAGCTGTCTGCAAACCAACATTATAGACAACACTTCACTTCAATGTTTACGTCCCGAATCCGGGTCATGAGAAAAAACAATAACAAAGCTTAACCTTGAGGGACTCAGCGACCAATCAAAGCAGACTTAACGTGTGCAAGTACGATTCGCAGATATGTAGCTTAACTCTCTGAGAAACGGTCACAAGCAGTACAGAATAACCTTCAGCAAGAAAACCAATCAGAGGACGTTGCTTATCTGCTAACAATAACGCTAATAATAATGTACATAAAAATCTATAAATATCTTTTGATTTTCTCAATAAACGATCTGTTGACTGGCCACTGTTTTCTGTCGTTACAATATAAGTATCTGACTAGCTCTTCGCTCATCTGCGGCAGACTTTACTAGATGTCCTCTATGCCATATTTTCTCAATTTCAAAGTAAAGTGACAGTAGTATTCTGTAGTCGTAAGCCTTTACAAAAATGAAGGAAAACAATATGTTCTTGGGAAGACATTCTTCACGTTTAGACTGCGTAAAGTATTTAGTAACCCCCGTTGGTTATTTGATGACAACTGGCTATTAGTGGGACCTATGCTGTTTGTCTGATTCCAGTTGTGAATGATCGTCTAGGTCCATCTAAATTCCATTGAATGATGTCGTTCGGAGTGAGACTAAAATGCATTACACATTCTTTCAAACTAATTGATTATTTTGTTTCAATGAAAACAGATAACAGTAGATTTGGTTAGTAGTCCTCAGATTCAGTTTCTTATTTACAAAAAGTTACAATCATGACAACTGGACCGAAGTTCAAAACTCTGCATATGTAAACTTGTGTGGTGTCAATGTGAAATAGAACTATTCATGAAAAATTCCCATTTTAGACATATACAAAATCAAAACAAATGATTCAGCGAAGAGACTCTTTTCAACGAATTTATTATCAAGCTGTACAATCGCATATATATGGGTTGTTTTTAAGAAATTATATCCAGTGAGGGGATTGAATCATATATGTGAAGGACGAGATCCCGCAGTTGACCAACTCTATGTGCGTTTATCAATTCACCTGTTCATGTGGCGTTAAGTATATCAGTCGTTCGACTCGAGTTCTGTCCAAGAAGGTACAAGTGTACTATCCTGCATAGTTACGAAGAGGTGGGAGTGGAGCAATTAGATGTGCGATCTTTGGTAATGATCACCCTATCTCCTTAGCCTCTGCCTTTGAGTCATCTACAAGGTGAAAAAGAATTTACTCAAATCACTATGTACCCAACTCATCTGTATTGCTGAAGCTTTGGCTATCGAAACAGAAAAGCCAGAAAAAGTTCGTTCACCCCCTCGAAACTTTCATGGTCTTAATCCCTGTATGCTAAAGTATGGTAATCCCTAGTCATATTTTGGCTCTACTAATTTTTTTCGTTTTGACGATTCAATTCCTAAACTCCTTATCGAATCAACTGCAAATACGTGTAATAGGAATGATTCAACACCTGTCCCAGACATCTGGAGAATTCTACTACCTCTATGACAAACAGGAGAGAACAAAGAAAACTATAAAACTCAAGTTTCGACGTCGTGTGATTATAATTGATATGATTATGAACAATAAATTTTGTTCGAAACGTTAATCAGTAAATAATACTGTTTCATTGTGTGATACGTCTAATAAACAAACCAATATAGAAAATGGACCTTTGAACAACCTTGCCAGGTAGTTCTCATTTTATTGCCGGTAAATGGATGACACCTTCATTCTTTATGATAATGATTCGGATAGGAGTACAATAATAACTGAATTCAATGAAGCACATTCGGCTATGAAGTTCACTTGCAAAGAGGAATTCCAAAACAAAATAACCTTCCTGGATATCCTCCTTACAAGAAAACCAGATGGTAGCATAAAAAGGAAATTTGCATAGAAAGATTACATGGACGGGACAATATACACATTTTCACAGCTTCGTTCCTCTCAAGTACAAAAGGGATTTAGTAAAGACCCTCAGCCACACAGAGTTAGAGCTATATGCTAAGAAGAAGTAATTGAAGATGAATTAAGCATTGTATATGATACTTTGACCGAAAATAGCTATCCTGACAAATTTACCGAAAAAAACATAACAAAGAAAGCGGAAAGGAACTACTCACTATCTGTAAACAAGAAGCCTCTTTATATACGACTGTGATTCAATAACGATATTCCAAGTGAAGTAATTACGAAGGAATTAAGAAATTGAGAAAATCGGTTTTAAGAACTTTTAATGCTGGCGAACTTCACGTCTAATTCTCTACACAACCGATAGTGATTCCTCGACTGAAATACGAAGTACCTAGACTAGCCACTCCAAATTGTATCTGCCAATTTAACTGGGCTTGTGGAGCGAGTTATATCGGCGGTTCCTCTAGGAACTTGGTTTTTCGTTCTCGAGAACACGATGGCTAACTAAGGGTGTAGTGAAAACCATCAACAGTCCAATATTTGACCATCCGGTCCAAACCGGACACAAAGCCTGTGTTGAAGAATCCTTCTCTATCATCTACCAGGTACCAAATAAATTGCCAAAAGCATCAAAGCACCGCATGATCCAAACAGCAGAGGCTATTGCAATTCGCCTCAAAGAACCAGTGCTTTGTGTGCAAAAGAAGTAAGTCCAGCCCCTCCAACTGCCTTGGCCTTCAGTAGAGACTAAAAATTCATGAATTTGTAATATTACGTGTGGCATCAAGCTGTAATCAAAAAAAATAAAAATTATGTTTCCTAATTTTTCTGACATTCAGTTTATTTGTATATTGATAGTACTGAACTGTAATCTATCAATATTATTGATTCGATGTTATTTAAACAACGACATTAGTGTCGTTCATAAGACTAATTCATTCATTCACTATAATGTATATATAACTGTATAACCTATTTTCTATTTATTTCTATTTGATTTACTTCCTTAGTTGCATGGGCCACCTGATGATGAATTTATCGAAAAAAGTATTCTTTGTTCAGTATCAATTTTTTTTAAAATCCTATAATTGCACATCTCTTTCCAACACATATACATCCTATGAATTCTTCTATATTTAACATTAATTGTTTTGCCACCTGACACTCAACTATTATTATAATCACAAATATTTTATTTGCATTTCATACTATTATTATTATTTTATGCATTCACTCCTATGATTCAATTCCCTCATCGCGAATATAATTTCATAAAAACAACCCATATATATACAATTGTACAGATTGATGATAAATTCATTGAAAACAGTCACTTCGCTGAAATGAAACTATCACAGAGCATACGTTCACTTACTTACCCTTTGATTAAATTCTGTCGAAGAATTCCCATAACTTGATGAGCTAACAGACTAGGTCTAGCTGTACTGTACTGTGGAGGTAATTCTGTAATAAACGACCAATTCTGACTACTTTCCTGTTTTGTACTATTAGGGATTAATTCATCAGAAGGTGTTCGTAATGCAAGTATATTGTTACTATTGTTACTATGACCATTAACCTGATTGGTATTCACTTGTGACAAGGGAACAAGTTGTTTATTATTGTTATTTGATGAGAATTCTTTTCCGCCGATAGTATTCTCTTTTGTCAGTAAAAGTGGACTACAGTCATCAGCATTTCGTGGGTTCAATGCAGCATAAAATTCTGTAAAGCTGATAATCTGTAAACATGGAAAAACAAATCGGAAAACTGAGTGAAACAAGAGAAACTACTACTTCATGCATTTATTCCCCTTTATGAATTTCAATAAGCCAAGAACAACAGTGTGGTTTGTGCAGAATAATATGGTACCGCCATTGTTTATTTCGTTTGCGCCTCATCAGCTGTTTACAGACTAAATAAAATTATTACTAAGTTCATGTACGGAAAAGTTTTAACATACAAATTTTACATGATGTCAGTTGACACGAGGTTCTGGAATAAATGAACAGTGCTCAGAAAACTGCACCTATATTGTTCGTACACACTGAATTTAAGCTTAAAAAAAGTAAATGTATGCATACAATGGTAGAGGAGTTACGTAATAAGGACGAGAGGCAAGAAAGATGATGAGTGACTAATGAATTAAGTAACAATGTATTGAGTTCAACTCAAATCACAGAAACAAGAGGTAAGTAAAATTACACTATATTAGAGGGGTGACGTTGCGTCGGTGGCGTAGCGGTTAGGATGATCTTCGACCCTGCACATGGTCCGGGGTTCGATCCCTGGCCGACGCACTCCTTTACCTCGCTAAGCCAGGAATAATGCTGGTGAAGAGGAAAGGTTGGGCATGAAGCTAGCAACCCCATCCTGTGAAATAAACACTGCTACAGAAACTTCAAGCCACAAGCTTGAAGCCCTATGTTCCACAGGGGAACGTGAAGGAAAAAAAAAGGGGTGAGGTTAAATCCAGGGATCACTTAATCAGTTGAAAGAGAGAAAGGAAACATCCAGTTACCAGGGCAGGCGAAGACTGATAACTGCTTCTTTCTGAACACATAAAGCGGGTTTCAGGCGTTCGATGGAGATCGCTTCAGTTAACTTGAGGAGAATGAAGGCTTTTTGTCTATTCATAATTTTAAAGGACTTTGCGATTTCCACCTCATGACTCGTATCAAGGGGATGCCTGGTAATGTCACTATTAAAGGATGACATTAGATGGTTGGAGGCAATCGACAGGAAGTACAGCCTTGCACCTAGCTTTCGCGCTAGTTGGCACTCACCAGTCAGCAAGGCGTATCTGTAACTTTGAAGGAGCTCATGTCCCTTCTGAGATTCGAACCCGCTTCACCCAGTGCTGAAGTCAGTCAGAGACGTTACCCCTGGGTTATTTGTGGTCGTGGTTGACTTCCTGTAGGACGAGTGCCAACTAGCATGAAACCTACGTTCAAGGCTGGGCTTCCTGCCGATTGCCTCCAACTATCTATTATCGTCAAATCAATGTGCACCGTGATGGTGAACTACCTAGAATGGTGGCCACATTGCAAACCTGACTGATAGAATTCAGTCTGCACCAAAGAACTAGACACATCACACTAGTTACTAGTGTCCAATCAAACTATTATAAGAGTTTGTTCCTCGCTGGAGATGTAGGCTTTTCGGTACATGTTCAGAAAATTGGAGGTGCATGCACCCTTCTTTCTGTTCTCCCAATGTAACTGCTCCTGCAGATACACGTTAATTTGTAAACACAGTTGGAGTTAACATTAAAAACTATTACAATAATTGCTTACGTGGTAGGCATTTACGCGTAGAGTGTTTTTTCATATTAAACGATTAACTTTTTTCATTGTGCAAAGTTTTGTGAATTGGTCTGTGAATAGCATTCAGTATAGTCATCATATGTTGTCAATGGACGTGAACATTGAACGTTTGTTTATTGGAACTGGCAGCCAGTGGTGGGCAACTCGAAGGCGCGAATGGTTCGATCGCTTGCAAGTTGAACGAAGGCGGATAGGAATACGAATAAAGTACTTTATAACTTCGTTTGTACTAAACATTGTTTGTAGACTCTGTATTTTGTCTCGCTTTAATTGCCAAACAACAAAAATTCGTTCAAGGAATACTGGTGTTTTGGATTTAAAGTTGAAACGAAATACTCAGTCATTATCGGTTCCAATCGCCTACGTTGCAATAGGAACTTGGGCTAAGTTCCTTGACATATGTGTATAAGGTTTCAGTCAGATGTAAGATGAAAAACTTCCATCTTTCTCTATTCCATATATTTTCTCTCTTTCCGTTTATTTTAATTGATTGAGATATGACCTCTAATGGTATTATCTACTTTCATGTGTATTTAAATGTTGACAAGCTTCTGATTTGCAAGTTCCTACTGAACTTGAGGAACAGCCTGATGATTGTGGGTGACAGCGTGTTCCAATACATGAGATAATTGTTCTTCAGTTATGTCCTTGGGTCTGAAAATGTACTTCTGAACATCTTACAATTGACTTCCAACTAGATATCGTGGATTTCTTGAATGAAGGAGACAAAGCAGATATATCAAGTAATGGAATGGTTTGTGTTTAAGCTCTCAGAAAGCATTGTGTCATAGGATATACTGTCAATTAATATTTTACTTGAAGATATTGTACGAAGGGAAAATATCACTCAATAAACTCCTCTGAAAATGCTGTACATTTTATAAATACTGTATAGAATAAAGATGTCATTATTATTATAAGGTTGGTTAGTTAACAGATAAGAAATTGTGTTGCACACTTCTTCTGTGATGTTTTGCAATTTACGAGACAAGTCATTTAAAGCCAGTCAATTTTTCAACTTTGGGTTCATCTTTAAAAAAGACACTTTTAACCTGGACAAAATTAGCCCTGTGATCTGCAATTTTTTAATATTAAGTGACATGTTAGAATTCTTTGAGTAAGCTGAGTCTCACCAATTTGAGTAGATTGGGGATAAATTCTCTGATCATTTAGATCTCATCAACTTCCCATTTGTCTGAGCGGAACATGGACAGTTTCAGACTTATTCCACGATTTTACTCTGTCCTCTGCAGTCTTTTATTAGCTGAATTCACAACTGCGCCTATAAACTCCGATTTCCCCCTCACATGATCTCCTCCATGTCACACTCGGACCAACACTCAACTCGTCATTTCGCACTCATGTTCCATTCGAGATATTTATTCGCTACTGCATCATTTCCAAGTACACTGTGATTAGAATTCACCTAGCTTTGTCATCATCCTACCAAAACTATACTGACAGAATCCAGTAAGCACATATACACACATACACACACTCACAGTAAGGTTTACTAATCGTTTCTAATCCCTGAAAACAAAGGGAGGTTGGACACGAGGTTAATTAGCCTATATCCGTGAATCAACCAAATCGCTAAGGAAAATCTGAAGCACACAAGACAAAATGCAGCCAGTATTTCTACCTAAGAAACAGATACTACAGTTAGATTCGTTTCATACATGCGAAAATCTGATTTTTGTCGTTGTTCAACCTTTTAATACTGTAAGAGCTTAAGATTATTAGAAGATTACTTAGAAAAAAATGGTTATTCAGACAAGTTCATTGAGAAAAATACGAATTCAGCACTTAGGAGAGTCAGCATGGCAATAGTTTCGAAAAAATCATTGTTCATAAAACTGCAGTTCCTCTGTGACAACATCAGCAAAATAATAACACAGCACCTGAAGAATGCATTTAAAAGAGCGTATTATGCAGCAGAATCAAGTTGTCTCTTCACTACCACCCCTATTCTACCTTCGAGAAATAAGGATAAACTACTCAAGTGTTGGTTTGTAGTGATTTGATTGGTATTATGACTTCATCATGAGCTGACATTAGTTAGAGGACCATTGGAAAACCTAGGAGTACTGGACAGTTGTTTCGTCCTAGTTTGGGACTCTTCATCAGTACACACCCACCGGGATTTTACCCAGGGCCTTCTAGTTACAAGGCGAGCTCGTATACTGTTAAACCACTGGGACCAGATCCACTGGCCCATGAATTCTAACTTCTGCCAATTCACGACATAGTGCGAGCCCTGGCCGATGTCTTCGGCGAGTATTTGTCCTCACACCCGACCTGATGCACCCTACTGGTCACGAGTTCCCACTAGAACCCCAGGTAACTACCTACCTGAATAGAGCAAGTCGCTAGTGAACATCTCATTGATAAACTACCTAAATTTGCCTCCTCTGTGTGTATCTACCAGTTTGACTGCAGCTGCGGAGCCAGCTACATGGAGCGTACAATTAGACAGGTTCATCATCGTATTTCCGAACATCATCCAACATGATTAAGCAAAGGACAAACAAGATCTATTCGTAGCTCTATTTTAGCACACCTTGTAGATAGTGAGCATAAAGTTGACGTTAATTCTGCATTTAAAATTATCTATTGCATTCCTACTAATCTGAATTTTGCTCTACGAGTTTGCCTTCTATATACAGCTGAAACAATAAGAATCCACCTGAAGAAGCCAAGCCTATGTGTTCAGAAGAAATTTGTACAGCCACTTTCCTTACAGCAATCATCGTTACATGAATGTATAAACCGGACTACTTCGTCCCCAAACCTTTAAAAATTATAATTGTGCAAATTATTTTATTTTTCTGACCATTTCATCTTTAATTACATGTTATCCTTGTAAAATTATTTAATTCTTATGACCACTTCAGCCTTAGTTACAAATTATCATTGTCCAAATCGTTTTATTTTCCCTAATAATCTGTTACGTCATCAACCTGTGCACACGCTTATCCCTTAATTACTCTTCATTTTTTCAAAATTACGCATTATGCAATCCACGTGTTGCAACCATTTCTACCTTGTAATTGTGTGTATTAATTTTCTTCGTTAATTATCACCCGCGCCTTGACATGTTGATACTGACTAATTATTGTTAACAAACATATCGCCACTTGATTGGTAAATTGTTGTGTATTGTAATAAAAATGCCATACGTGTATATTAGGGTAGAGCCGGAGTGAGATGAGGATCTAATTGAAAAGTAAATATTTCTTCGCTCAGTCATTCTGTTTTCTTTTAATACTGGCCGAAATCAGTGTATTTTAGAAGGTTATCTTCCTGAGGCCAACGTGTTTTGTAAAAATGTTTTTGAAAGTAAAAGTTATAAGATACAAATATTACAGGAGGTATAATAGAGTGTATTAATACCACAACCCCTCCCACAAAAAAA